TCGCTTGAGTACAGTTAGGAACGCGGATGTCATCGGTGTGATTGATCAAGGGAAAGTTATAGAAAAAGGTAGGCGATATTTATTTTCGTTTTTCAATATCTCCAATGCCGGAATTGGCAGAATAGATTGTAATGTATTTTGTCGCAAATCGCAATTGCATGATCAGGTTCACATGATGAGCTACTGAAGAACTCTGCTGGTGCATACAGCCAGTTGTTTCGGCTTCAAGAAGCTGCAAAAGGGCCAGAAAGGATGCCTGCGAAATATTCAGACTGGAGTTGTCTCTCGTTTTCGACTTCATCTGTTCAGTCGCCTGTATTCAGTTTTACATGCTCTGAGACAACACCTGATAGAGGCCTCGGCACCAGCGATTCAAAAGTATCATCACCAGCACCAGAAGTATCTCTCACCCGTTTGGCCTATCTTAATAGCCCAGAGATTCCGGTGTTGCTGTTAGGTGCGATAGCTGCAGCTTGCAATGGCATCATATATCCAATTTTTGGCTCGATGCTCGCTAGTGTGATCAAAACTTTTTACAAACCAGCAGAGGAACTCTGAAAAGAATCAATATATTGGTCACTGATGTTTCTGATTCTGGGCATGGCATCTTTAGTGGCGACGCCATTGAGCCTGTATTTCTTCGCCGTGGCAGGGTGTAAGTTGATCAAAAGAATCCGGTCGATGAGTTTCAAGAAGGTGGTGCACATGGACATAAGCTGGTTCGATGAGACCGAGCACTCGAGCGGTACGATTGGCACAAGGCTTTCAACAGATGCGACGTCGGTGCGTTTATTGGTCGGTGACACTCTTGCTTTGCTCGCGCAGAATGCTGCGACGACGACGATCGCTGGCTTGCTCATCGCTTTTGAAACAAACTGGGAATTGGCTCTTGTGATTCTCGCGTTGCTTCCCTTACTTGGTGTCAGTGGATATGTTCAAATGCAGTCCATGAAAGGCTTCAACACAAATGCAGCGGTCTGTTCCTGACCTTGCTGAGTACATCTTAGAGCTAACATATTGAGCAAAAAGTGCGAAAACTCAGACAGACGAGCAACGACGAACAGACTATTTTTATAGTGCATAGAGTACAGCAATTTGCATAGTAAGTGGCTAGTCTAATCAGTCCGACTATATATCTGCAGAAATTGTATGGGGAAGCAAGTCAAGTTGCTAGCGATGTGGTCGCCAACATTATGACAGTCGCATCTTTCCGTGCTGAAGAAAATATGGCGAGACTTTATCAGACAAAATCTCGAGGCCGTCTGAAGGAAGGAGTTAGGCGGGGTATCATAAGTGGAATCGGCTTCGGATTATCGTTCTTCTTCCTATTTTTCTTCTATGCTGTGAGCTTCCATGTTGGACCCGAGCTCGTCGACCACAAGAAGACGACTTTTCCCAAGGTTATTTTGTGTAAGTTTCTCATTTCGCTCATACATCTGTCTATGCTAGTATCTTTCTCCTAGGCTTTATGTCCCTGACTTTGGTCCAATCATCTGTACTGCAGGTCTTTTTCGCATTGTGTATGATGGGACTCGGAATTTCGCAGTCGAACTCCCTCGCACCCAATGTGAATAAAGCCAAGAGTTCCGTTGCTTCCGTATTCGAAATCTTAGACCTAAAATCTAAGATCAATGCCAGCGACAGCCGTGGAATTACGCTAGTGAATGTGAAAGGAGACATCAAATTCCATCACCTAAAATTCAAGTACCCAACTAGACCTGAACTCCTAGTATTCAAAGACTTCTGCTTGTCCATCCATTCTGGTCAGGTACAACAATACAAGATTAGGCCATTCCTCTCTGTTTTTTCGTTATATATACGCTTAATCTGATGCGGAGGCTTGTAAGCTCAAACACTGAGAAATAATTTCATGTGTCTCATCTCATGTACTAGACAGTTGCTTTGGTTGGAGAAAGCGGGAGTCGAAAATGGACGGTAATATCTTTGCTTCAAAGATTTTATGACCCTGATTCTGGTCGAATAACCTTGGATGGAGCCAATATACGGGAGCTAAACTTGGACTGGTTAAGGGGACAGATGGGTCTGGTGAGCCAAGAGCCTGTCCTGTTTAACGACATGATCCGTGCTAACATCGCATACGGGAAAGGAGGCAATGCAACGGAGGTGGAGATCCTAGCGGCGGCGGAGTTAGCCAATTCTCACAACTTCATCAGTGGCTTACAACAGGTTAAGGCTTGAATCTGTCAACATCCTTCTAAGATTTCAGAGTCTTCATTTGGGTTGTTAGTTATTACTTGTTGTCGGCTAAGTTCGTATACCAGAAATTGAAATCAAACGTCAGGAAAACTAATCTGAAAGCAGTACAAATAGATAAACAGAATGTTGATCCGAGCCTAACGAAGTAACGTTGTGTCCTTAAGACGAATTTGGCCCCTCAATCAGTACCCGAGGATATTGGACAATCGTCTCCCAGGATAGAACGAATCTCGTTCCTCTGAAGTGGTACGTATTCAGAGGACTCCTTCGAACGCAATTTTTCAGAATAATCACACAAAATGACAATGATGAAGAAACAGAAAAAAATGAAAATGTCTAGAGTACGTCGGGAAAATGCCTCGCGGGAATATAAAATGCCTCGAAGTGTCACCAGACCGAACTAAACTGTTCTGTTCGGAAAAAATAAAAAAACCAATAGAGAATGGACCCGGAACCGAACTGAGACGGTGGCGGCTGCGCGCGGGGGAATTGGCATAGGTCCTCTCTCTTCCACAAAATTGGGGTATCCCTTGGGGCTCAAACCCATTTGAGAAGCTCCTCAAAATAAACCATCTCCCATCACCTCTTCTATCCTATGTGGGACACTTTCATCCACACACTTCTCATTCAATTCTATGGGATTTGGATGCCAAAATCCCAACATTACTGACCATGACATCGTAAACATACACAGGGTTATGATACAACAGTGGGCGAAAGAGGGATTCACTTGTCCAGCGGGTAAAAGAAACGGGTGGCGATCGCGAGAGCGATAGTGAAAAACCCAAGAATTTTACTACTCGACGAAGCCACGAGTGCTCGACATCGAATCCAAGCGGGTGGTCCAGGATGCGTTGGATAGAGTCATGGCTAGCCGGACCACATTGGTGGTGGCTCATCGGTTATCAACGATCCGCCGTGCAAACGTCATCGCTGTGCTGAAAGACGGTGCAATTGTCGAGAAGGGGAGCCATGATACCCTGATTAACATGAGAAATGGAATCTATGCTACCATGATAGCACCGGAGGATACAAATCGTGGCGGCGCGAAGGCCCTCACCGGACCTGGGCAAGGGCCTTCGCAGCCGCTTCAGTCAAATGAGGCTAGTGACTCAATTTGGCCATCTTTTTCATTATCACTAAAGTTTTGAGTCTTCGTATTGTATATTACACCCGATGGTCGATGAACATCAGCATCTGATGAAGATGTTAAGAAAATTCAAGAGAAAAAAGTGTCTGGTCCTTTAGTTTAATGCTTTAAGAGAAGTGCGAAACAGATGAAGACTAAGTTGGGCCTTTAACATCAGAAAATGCCTCCTCACCCACCAAGAACATGTCCTTCAATTCAATGCAGGTGTTTGTAACAAGAAATTGATGATTTCAGCTTCACTCCACGACAATTCATAGTCAACCCAAACTTGCTTTTCTTGCAAGCCCAATTCAAGCTTCCACTTCTTGGCTTCTCCATAATTTACTCAAAGCTCAACAGCAACATTTTATTGATGGACGACTCCTAAATTTGGTTTGTATTTGAATTGGGTACTTGATGTGGACTTCCACATTCCCTCAACATGTCATTTGCTTATACAGCCGACCCATGATGTGTCCCTGCCAACTGTCACTGGTGGCAAATTTGGTTTTTTAGGGCAATTCAAGAATCTATCTTTTTCTTTCTCCAATCCATTTTTCTTGTAGGTTTCTTGCCTAAAGCAAGAAGCCTAAACCCACTTTATGACTAACTTTATTCATAGTGAAAGATTCTCCTTGAGAGAGAAGCACGACACAGATGGAAACAAAGGAATCGCAGGTGGGATGTAGTACAATATGATTAACAATGTACGCCTATGGTTTAACTCTTTAAAATTGGCCGAACTTCGACTTTGATTTCAGTTTAAGGACATGATTAAAATCGGGATTCTAATGAACTTTTTTGGCATCGCGGGTTAACTTTGAGGATTGATCAAACACTAATTGGTACAAGTCGGGTCGAGCCAAAAGGAACTTTGAGACTTGAAAGAACAAAAGTGTGATTTCACAGGTTGTTTTGCCTTTTGGATTTCGTAAGGATCTAGCTTTGAGGTTATGTCTGCTGGTTTAATGGACTGTGATTAATGTTCTAATTTGTTAACAGTAGATTGATTGTGGGTGTTACATCCCAAATCAAATCATCCATAAGTCGATGAAAATTGAATAATTGAGTGGACCCTGACAATCAATCAATGTATGAGAGGAGGATATTATCTCTAATTCACACCAAGATCAATTATTCTTTTCATCTTTCAATATATTTGTTCTTATTTTCAAAAGAATAGTATGATCTAAATAGAAATTCACTTGATTGAAGAAGTTAGTGTCACCCATCAACCGTTCAGTCAGTTGAGTTGTCACATCCTCAACATATGACAAGAACTATTAGAACAAATTAATTGCATTATAATCACGTGGACTCAGTACATTAGAACCGAAATTGTCCTAAGCACCATGAAATTAATACAAAATATAGAAACAAAAGTTGCACAAATAACGACTATTCTTTGCTCCATCTTAAATCACAATCGCCCCAACGAACCTTGCTTCATCTGATGTGAAACTACAACCAACAAGAAGAAACCAACCAATTCACTTTGCACAAAATCTCTAGGGTTATATTCATCGAGGGTTACATTCCTACAGCTCCATTGTCCCACCGCTTCTCCCACCTTTTCAGCTCATATAAATGTAGATCCACAAGTTTTAGTCCATTTCAAGAACTTCAAGGTAATCACTCCTCTATTGCTTTGTCGATATCGATATTCGATATTGATACAGGTACACATCTGACGTGCGTGTACGTGAAACTATGTATGCGCGCATCGCGATCTGCTACCTATTGCAGGTTCTTATTCGGGCGAAGGGGAGGATAAGAATTCGGCACGGATTCCATTCGATTGCCGGTATGTATTCTTTCGGAGCAAGGTTCTGAGCATCTTTCGTGCTGACAGAATTGTTTCTTTTAGATATATTAGAAGCAAACAAAAGTTCGTAGGAAAGGTAAACTAGTTGCTTCTCTTTAGCTCGACTCGGTTCCTCTCCTCCTCTCCGTGATAAAACTTTAGCAGGGTTCTGTTATCTTACTAAAAAGAGGAGTAACAGTTGAAGGGATATATTGAGATAATTAGATTTAAGTGCAATGCATGGTCGAGTTGATTAATGGAGGGATCTTGGACATGAGCTAAACCCCTAAAATAGAGCCCAAACTTGCTGTCTAGGCTTGCTCATCAACCAACAAAATTTAACATTTTTCCGCTTTAGGTAGGCCATCTAGCTAGGGCCCTACTAGACCGAGCCGAACTTATAACTCAAAGCTTGTCGAGGAATGTCTTCAGGCCCTTGTGAGGTGGGGAGATCATGAGTCGCCGAATTTGTTTATATGAACTAGATGCACGATACACGTTTGATTTCCATATCATCAAGTATAAGTCACGGTGCACTGTGCAACACCGAATAGTACAAAAGAACAGTTGTTAGCTCATGGGTTACTATGACAATAGTGTGCCGGGCATTTTTTAAAGTGGACTGTTGGCGGCAATTAAATATCAAACCGTTGGTCCCGCATCGTGATGTTATCTTATGATGCTAAGGGACCCGCTTTTGTAATCGTGAGGGATTTACCGTGAGGAAAAGTCTATAGACTTCAGAGTACACCTGATGCGCCTTAGAATTTGTCAGCTCATGCCAATTTTCAAGATCAAATTCTCGAAGGACAAACTCATGCAGTCACATGCAGCTTCTTTTCCCCCCTCCTTGTGATAGGAGTACCTAAGCAATGGTTTCTGTTCCATTCACGGGTCATCTTTTACTCTCTCCCTCTCTCCCTCCCTCCCTCCCTCTCATGAATGCTCTTTTGATTAGTCAACATCAACCTCATCAACACTGGAGACGAAAAGGGTCGTCCCCTCGTCTTTCTTTATCAAGCAAAGAACCAATAAGTCTTTTCCCTTGCACCTTACAAGCATTTGGAGCAAACGAAAATTGATGTGCATCGAGACATGCTTCGATCGCCCGAATGATGTCCCAAGCATGCTCACGGGCTCTCATTGAATTCTTGGTGTTTGGTTAAGAGATAACTTCATTATAGAAAGTGAGCCGGAATCTTAAACAGAGGCTTCCGCGACCTATTCGTTTGATTTGCAATAACGGTAGGCTGCACGAATATTTTCATTATATTAACGTGCCGGTGCTCACACGTCTTGCTCCTCCTAATTCCCTCAAAATCTTTTTATTCCCTGGCGAGAGAATACCTTATGAAAATTTTACATCTCGGAAATCTCGAGTTCATTACGAGATTTTCTATGTATGTGTAAGGGCATTTTATTCTTTAATTCTTTTTTAATTCGAATCTTTGCGTGGACAAGGTTGAGAGACAAGACAAAATTTTCCTAATCCCATCACTAATCTGTTTTGTTGATAATTATTAAATAGTTTTCACATTCCAAAAGTTTCCTATAAGTGCTTCTTTTCTAGCATATATATAAGTTTGTCTGATTATTAGCGTGGAAAGATAAGACAAATAAATATCACGTTAAGAAATTATAAAAAGCCTGGAGTTCATTTGACATTATCGAATATTATGAATATGAAATGATTGACTAGGGACCCTGATGTTTTATTCTTCATTTTTTTAATTCTTTAGTTGGCGATTTCTTTTCTTATTTCTTAATTATCGCAAAACGGTTATCCGTTCCATATACTGCTCCTTGGTTTATACGTAAAATGACACCGTTTTAACGCATATGTTTGGTACATGTCGAAACGTAATCAAGGGCATGCCCTAACGTTATCCTCGTAAATAACCTACATAGAAAAAGGGGGAACTATTCGATCACATGTTTCTTGCATGGCAGTTCTTTGATTAAATCCACCAAATGACATTATTATAAATGTCCTATAACCTCATGATAAAGTGAGAAAAAAAACTTTATTCTAATATGAAATCCTCATTCTCACCAACCCCATCACAAAGAAACCCAAATGAGAATGAGTGGGGTTCCTGCTAATTCCATTAAAATCCAATTTACTTGACTTACAACCAACTACATGTTTTTGGAGTGATCATCAATCAATCAAGCACTATAAAAAGCATACCCTTTAGTGGAAATTGTACTGTTGCAATGATTAGACCACACGCCATAAATAAAACATTTTCTTCACATTAATGAAGGCCCTCAAATTTTTATTAGCGGGCCTTGTACTGTCGACTAAATTAGCAAAAAAAGGACAAAATAAGGAAGCTTGGTCTCATTGTACCTGTGATTTGTCTGCATTGTAATAAGGGCCCGTCTCAATCATTTGCAGTCCGACCACCTCATGATGATCAATTGATTAGTTTAATTTCCCCGCAAAATTGTCCAATCCTCCAGAAAAAAAAGGGGAATGGATTGTAAATTGCTTCCAAAGTAATAATCCAAAAGGCATAATTATACTTACATTCAAAAGAATATGCTCATTATTCTGCATGTTGGTGGAGCAAATGGCATGATACATTAGACTAAATCATATCTAACAAATTGTGTCATGTGAAGTCTCCTCTAGATGTCAATTAGAAAAGTGGGTGCACTTGGCATTTCATTAATTCTACGAATCTTACCGAGGGTAGTCTTATTACATATTAATTTTAGAGTTAATATCATCAAAAATCTCAAACCAGTACACTTGTGTCATATTTATCCAAAATTAATTTTCGTGCAATGAAAAATTCCGAATTGGGGTACACCGAGTTTGGAATTTTTGGTGGTAATTGGTGCATACATTCTATATGGGTTCCTTTTCTTCTCTTCTTGGGATTTTGCCCCACTTAATTAAACTTTCTTGAACCATAAAAAAGGTCAAGAATTTCTAATAATCCCGAATGAACTGGAATTTGTGAAGTGGCATGTACTTTATTAGTTGACATTATTTAATTGTAAATAACCTACTTCAAGTGCCATTATTGTGGGATACAGGGGACACCTTGAGACCCAAAACAAGGAGAAATGGAAAAACATCAACAAGCAGCAGAGCAAAACTCAGGTCTTTGTACGTCCTGTCCCCAGATATTCATTGAAGCACTAAAAAGCTAATGTGCAGCATAAATTTGACCATCACAACTTTAGAGGATCTTTCCCCAGTTTAGGTAGCCCAAAGGCTCGGTAGCTTTTGTTCACATACACCTACTCTGCCCGCGACCTGTTGGCTGCATTGCTTGCTTCTCTGGTGACCTGTCTGAACAGGGAGGGTCAATGAACAGGCAAGAGAGAGAACAAATTGGGTTTCTGTGGACATTTCTTGTGGTTGTTTCTTGAATCATGATGAGAAGAGAGAGTCAATAAAAAACACTGACCCCATGAAGCAAGCTGACTCATCTCCACACGGGTCTCACATAATCTTCTTCCCTTAAAACTCCATCCACAACAACCAAAAGAGTTTGTCCCCCCTGTTTTTTGCTTTTTGCAGGTTTTTTCCTGGGTCAAGCTACGAACTTTGAAGCCATGAAGCAAGAAACGCCACCCAGAGCAACGCCAGCAGTGAGAGCTGAATGCAGAACTAGCGGCAATTCGATTTCGCACTCCTCAGCCACCACCCCTTCGCGTTTCAGAGCCACCCCAAAGGTTAAGGAGTCATTGAAGGCAGCGGGTGATGTTCCGAGAGACAGAGCAAAGTCAGTGCCTCCAGATGTGAAGAACGATTCAAAGGCCCAAAGGTCTCTTGTGCTCAGAAACCCCAAATCTGGGGACGTTGCTGCGGGATCTCAAAAGGGTAGGGAGCTTGAGGAGGCGAAAATCGGGGGTCGAGCCAGGGCGGCCCGCACGGTTGTCGAGCAGTTTGCTCGGCCGCGGCGGCTGCGGCCGGGTGTGAGCTCTGTTACTAGCAGGAGAAATGAGGATGGAGTGGTGGATGGGAATAAGAAGAAGCGTGAGGAATTGCAAGAGAAGTTCGAGTTAAATGAGAATTTGGTCAAGAGTTTGCAGAGTGAGGTGTTGGCTTTGAAGGTAGAATTGGAAAAAGCACTGAGCTTGAATGGGGAGTTAGAATCAAAGAACAGGAAACTTACAGAGGATCTTGCTGCTGCTGAGCACAAAATAGCAACTCTTAGCAGCTTTGATCAGGTGAGAGTCTAAGACTAAATTTTGGCATGATATTGTGGTTTGGTTTATAATTTGAAATAGAAACATCTTTGATCACCTACTCTCTCTCTCTCTCTCTCTCTCTCTCTCTCTCTCTCTCTCTCTCTCTCTCTCTCTCTTCCTTCCTTTTCCCTGTAAATTGCACGGGTCACTTTTCATTTCAATCTGGAGTACATGCTTCAATTCTGTTGTGGAAATAAGATAATCGTCCGATGGTTGCATAATATTATTCAGTCTCTGTAGGTGAAATCACCCCTTCATAAATTGGGAGTTTTTGAACTTAAAACATGAGCTAGTGTTCCTTCAGGTTACAGACTGGTGGTTGTTTCTAAGTTCTTCATTTCCCAGTTTTGTTGAATGGTGTTTGTTCATTCCATGTCTTGTTGTACAGAGGGAGTCAACTAAGGATTTCGAGAGTCCCAAATTCAAAGACATTCAGAAACTGATTGCCAATAAGTTGGATAATTCAAAAGTAAAGAAGGAAGCTTTCAGTGAGGCTATCTTTAAGACTACGCTGCCTGCAGAGCCGGCGAGTTCAATACCAAGAGTTATTGATAATAATGCAAAGCCTCCACCTTGCCCGTCCCTGCCACCTCCGCCTCCGCCACCTCTTCCCTCCTCCCGGTCCCGGGCCAGAGGATCTGCAACCCCTAAAACTCCTGCAGTCGTAGAATTTTACCGCTTACTGACGAAGCCAGAAGAGAAGAAGGACGAATCAAGATCAAAGGATTCCAATAAACCAGCGGTTACAAGTGCACATAGTAGCATAGTCGGAGAAATCCAAAACCGTTCCGCTCATCTTTTAGCTGTAAGCTTCCGGACCATTTTGAATTGAGATCTGTGAAATAACTTTGCAACTTTTTCTTGTGAATGTAGTTGGGATGGCTGTTGACTCAGCTTGATTTTACAGATCAAAGCAGATATTGAAACCAAAGGGGAGTTCGTTAATGGTCTTATCCAGAAAATTCAAGCTGCTGCTTTCTCAGATATTGAGGAGGTCCTAAACTTTGTGGATTGGCTTGATAATGAACTTTCTTCCCTGGTGAGTCTAGGTGCATATTCAAACTCTTGTGATTAACCTCAATTCAGACGGGGCATGAAAGAGACTTGGTTCATGAATGTTTGGACCTCAGAATCGAGGGGTTTTTCTTTTTTCTGTTTCATTACCCAATTCGATGAATGGATCCTCTTGCTTAAGGAAACAAACAATGAGATCATGAGAATGAAGGCCCCCCTGTTCCTTAGAGATTTTTGTGGCGGGGAGTTGCTTGAATTGTAGGTGAGATTTAGTTACCTGAGTTGTAGGAGAGGAAAATATCTCAAACTTGGACAGCTTTTGCATGTCGATGACAGAACAAATAAAATTTATACGTAGCAATACCATGCATTACTCTGATAGTAGAGTTGAGGTAGATTAGTATGGTTGATCAACTATCAGAGCAGAATGTCCTTCTAGGTCTCCCCTGCGGCATGCGCTGTCAACGACGGAAAAATTTGCAGTCATATGCGCTGAAGGTGCCTATCTTGCTGGTTTGTGTCATGGTCTGCCTTGAATGGACTATTGTGGAAATTGATGAATTTGCATCTAGCTCTACCGATGTAATATCTTCGACACTGTACCATTACCACCTTTATAGATGGTCAACTAAGACCAATTACATGTAATCTGCCAACTTTAATGTTGTTGTTTGGTTGACAGGCCGATGAGCGGGCTGTGTTGAAACATTTCAACTGGCCAGAGAAGAAAGCTGATGCCATGAGAGAAGCTGCAGTTGAATACCGAACTCTTAAGCTGCTCGAGAGTGAGATTTATTTATATGAGGACGATATGGAGGTTCCCTGTGGAAGTGCGTTGAAGAAGATGGCTGGCTTACTAGACAAGTGAGTTCATACTTCATGATCGTCGTGCATTAGTGGTCAATGTTGGAGCAGGATCAAATATCCAGAGCTCTGATTCACCCCTTTCATTTCATTGTGCCAGGTCCGAGAGAGGGATTCAGAAGCTCGTCAAACTGCGAAGTTCGGTTATGAGATCGTATCAGAATTGGAAAATCCCAACTGATTGGATGCTCGATTCGGGAATGGTGTACAAAGTACAGTACATTGTCCTCTTTTTAAGATTTAAATTTACTGTTATTCTTGCTGGTGCTCAAGTTCTGCTTAGTTTAGTTCTACAATTTACACTGGTTATGTCGCTACGATGTCGTGCCGACCTTCGGTTTGGTGTGTGTTCTGCAGATAAAACAGGTTTCAATGAAGCTGGCTACCATGTACATGAAGAGAGTGACGACAGAGTTTGAATCCATGCGGAACTCGGACAGGGAATCAACCCAAGAAGCTCTACTGCTCCAGGGTGTTCATTTCGCGTATAGGGCCCATCAGGTAACCAAAACAAACATTTTAGATGGCTCCAGTCTAAACTCCTCTCTCCTTTTTGTACTTTGATTCGCAGCTTCGGAACCCGATCAAATCAGAGAATCTCGAACTGCGTAGTTACTGTTTATAGTTTGCGTCGTGAACGGCACCAGTCTGTTAATTGTCTGCATATGCTGCTGCGCAGTTTGCAGGAGGGCTTGATTCGGAGACATTGTGCGCTTTCGAAGAGATTAGACACCGTATCCCCGGACATTTCCAAGGGTCTCAACATCTGCTGGCTGGCATAACCTCATCTTGAGAACCCCGCGTAGCGTTGAGCGGGTTGGTTTACGCATCGCGGGCATCCGAGTGAATGATCGGCACACGAGATTCGTTTTCGGCATGTCCCCGACGGATAACTTGGAAAGGCCGTCAGAGCATCTCGGAACACATATTATCTCTGTAGAAGCCGTCAAGGCTCGGTAGTTCTCATGAAAAGAGTGTAGTTCGTCTACGCGACGATGTGCAGCATGAGTTAGGAGCTCAATAACTGTAATGGCGACAGTTAAATTCCTGCGGTTTTTTCTTGTGAGATTCATCAACGATTACTTGCAAAAAAAAATTCAGGAGTGATGCTTTACCGATGTTGCCATCCTGAAAACAACTTATGGCGTTCATCCTCAGTAAGTACGAGGATGCATTACTATTACTAGGGAGTCATTCTTCCGAAAGCACTGTACACGTAGCCGAAATGCGCAGTCAATCATGCCCTTATTACTTCCTTTTGAATTGAGGGTCGGCCCGGCTCGTGTCGTTTCCGACAACCGGCCGGCGATCACGTCGGTGTATGCGCCGAGAAAAATGACGAGGCGAGTAACTGAATCAAATAGGAAGGTGTGAGGTCGTGAGATGCATGTACCCGGGCTGGCATCGCTATGCCAGACGGGATCCGCCCCCGCCCCTTCCTCGGCCGTGGTCAAATGCGGGGAAAAAGGGGGCCCTTTCAGATTCAATCGACGCACGAAGTATGCAGAGAAATGATCGTACCGGGGCCCATAGAGGTTAGCTCCCTCCGGTGGACAGCAAATAAAGAGGCCATACAAAAGAAAGCGATTGCCAACAAGATCCGGCAACGTCGTTCAAGTAACGGAATCTAGCCAATTGAGAGGATCTTCTGATCGATTCATGGATCACTTCGAATCCATCAGTAACGAGAATTCGGAATATCATGCATCGATCGATCGAAGAGAGATTCAACAACTAGAAGAAAGATCAATTCTTCGAGATCCTTCCTTTCTTAAAAGGGTTAATACCACGAAAAACCCTAAACTGGTACACTTGTGATATATTTACCCAAAACTATTTTTTTGACTATAAAAAACCCCAAACTGGTACACTTGTGACAATTTTATCCTGAACTATTTTTTTGACCACCAAAAATCCCAAACTGGTACACCTGTGATAATTTTACCCTGAACTTACCACAAAAAACCCCAAACTTGTACATATGTGACAATTTTACCATGAATTAAAATTTTAATATTTTTATTTTTTTTTTTTCGAATTTTTATTTATTTTTTATTTTCTTTTCTTTTTTTTTTTTTCATTTTCAAACTCTGGCCGGTCGCCGGTCCGGCGACCGGCCAGAGGCGGAAGCCGGCGAGGGCGACCCTCGCCGGCTCGGGCGAAGGCTGCCCTCGCCGGATCTGGCGAGGAAACTGGAGAGCTGCCAGCTCGCCATCGACAAGTCAAACCGTTGACTCGCACGCACGCACGCAGGGGGACCTCACCTAGGCTTCCAAAGGGCGAAACGGTAATAACCGCAGCCGGTCCCGGGGAACGGGGCGGGAAACGTCGGCGCCGACGTGGCGCCGTGCGGGCCGTCCGATCTCCCGACAAGCCACGTCGACCGTCGCCTCCCCGCTCGCCGGGAGGACACCAGGACAAGAGGAGGTGGTGGGAAAAACCGAAAACGGACACGGGCCCCGCGTCCACGTCACCGGATTCCTCCCTCCACCACTCAGAACGCGCCACGTGGGCTCCCTCGTCCTCGTCGTCCTCGTCGTCGTCATCGTCTGTTCATGTCGATTTCGTGACACATTTCCTTAATTTATTCGGCTGCGTTTCTTCCGGGTCTTCTTTGGTGTCATCGTCGGTAGCTGAAACCAGCGCGCTCGCTCCAATGGATTCGCTCTCCGCCGCCGCCGCCGCCGCTTCCTCGCGGCGGTTCCCTCGCTTCACCGGCGCCGGGATCGATGCCCGCCGCGGGAATCCGATCGGCGAGGTTAGGGTTGTTTGCGGCGGCAAGGATCGCGAGGACCGTGCCGGATCGAGGGCGTCCCGCGGCGCTTTGAGGTGCGGGTTCGGCGATGATGGGCACGTGCGGTATTACGGTGGGAGGCCGAGGTTTGGTCGGGACGAGGAGGGGAGGAAGGAAGGCGGGAAGGCGGAGATCAAGAAGGGGTTGAAGGGATTGGCGAAGGGGGAAAATTTTTCCGAGCTCTGTTGGATGGAACGTCGCGGCGGCGGCGGCGGCGGCGAGGTTATTGAAGGTCGGGAGAAGCCGATCTCGGTACGTTCCTTTGGTTTCAGGCTCTGTTGTCGGGATTCTGCTTCGATTGTTTGGTAATTCAAATGCTGTTGTGAGGTGATTTGCGGTTTGATTCTGTGGTTTGATCTGATCGGTGATGGTGTTTCTTTGGCCAAATGCAATGAAAGATCCTTGTTTTAGCTATCTGCTCTCACTTAATCTGATTCGGGGTTGATATTTATGCATGAAATCTGCCATATCTGATGTGATCTTACCGTGCAAATTGGCTTCCCATGAAGAAAAAAATTTCAATGAAGCTATCACTGGTTGAAGGTTTGATTAGATTCTGAAATTTGTGCTTTTGGTGGAGTACTTCTTGCTTGGATTTTGTTGGTGTCGGTGGGTTTTCTGTCGAATCATTGCGGTCATTGTCGTTGTGCAGGAAACAGCAGTGGTTTTGCTGAAACAACTTGAACAGCTGAAGGCAGAGGAGAAGGAGCTGAAGAGAAAGATAAAAGAGCAGAAGGCCAAGCTTAAAGCGGAGCGGAAGAAAGTTACGATGGATTCCGAGTCGTCATCGTCCTCCTCCTCCTCGGAATCAAGCGACAGTGAGTGCGGAGAGGTGATCGACATGGGCCGCCTGAGGACAGACGTTCTCGTGAAAGAAGAGAGCAATAATGCCGGAACCCTCGCGTTGCCGAACGGGGTTCTGTACCGCGAGGCGACAGTTAGCGGTCCAAGCAATGTTGCAGCCAGTGGTGCGGTGACAAAGAGGATCGAAGTGTGCATGGGTAAGAAGTGCAAGAACTCAGGAGGACCGGCGTTGTTGGAGGAATTCAAGAATGCGGTGGGTGTCGAAGGCGCTGTTGTTGAATGCAAATGCCTGGGCAAGTGCAGGGATGGCCCTAATGTGAGGGTCTCGAATAGCTTGGGTGAGGATCCAGCTCCTGAAGCGGATGATTCCGTCAGGATTCCGGGGAATCCTCTACTTATCGGGGTCGGTTTGGAAGATGTCGACGCTATTGTGGCCAAATACTTAGGTGAGGATGGAGATCTGGGGTTGAATGCGCCGTAGTCGCTGTGCTGGATGATTTGCTATATATGCACTGGCATTCCAGGAACAATTCAGTAAATATGTATTCTATTATAAGCTAAAGAGTCTCTGTTCTAGTTGTAAGGTCTCTCACTTTGTTTCTTTACGCATCCATCATGTGCTGTAGTCCCTCTGCAATGTTTTCTTTGGAACGATTTGTACCAGTCCTATCTTCCTTCATTTGACAAACATATACTGGTGGACAAAAATTTATATGGATTACTGAGGAAAATATAATCACTCTATCGAGATCTGTGGTCTCTTTGTAGCGGGTTCTTTGCTTGAAATCATTTCATCACATGCCCAGCGTTTAATTGTTGGGAGTTATATTTGAACAGGACATGCCTGGAAAGAAAAGTTGATGCTTTGGTCGCTTCATCTGCTTGAAGATGTTTGGTATACACAAGTGATCTTAAATTCATCGGAATCACGATACAATGGCGGGTCATCCTTCGCTTACAACCAGTTTCAATCATCACCGGCATGCAGTTCCGGCGATTTTTTTCTGTTACGTTCTCTTGAAAGGATAGTCTGGATACAACCACAAGAGAATCCGGAATTATCCTTCCTTCTCAATGCCGGTCCTAGTTGCATACATGATTGCCACGAAGGTAAAAGATAACGCAACTGATGTCCCGCGATGTAAAAAGATCTCTTGAAAGTGTAAGCACGTTGAAATAGGGGGATGACACTGCTCATCCGAGAAATACCCGACGTTGCTATGAGAAAACAGTAATAACTGATGCAGTGATGAAAGCTTCAGCTATTCAATCTTTCCAGGATTCTCAACAAAGTCTGACTTGAATACAGTATGTTAATTGAGCCTTTACAGTACGATAATACGGCATGTGTGAGATTCGGTACTTACAAAATCTGTAGAAAACCTTACTACCAATTCTTGTCGCCCAACAACAATCTCAATGTATTAGCTGCCCAACATGCAGAAGTACAGGTAAATCAGAACATCAATTTGCTAAAGAAGGCCAATACAAAAAGATTTTGGCCAGCTGATTTCTCGAACGCCTCGTACTCTCTAGAACTTGACATTAGTGAGGATAGCTGCCACTTCCGGCAGCAAATACCCAGTAGGATTTGTATCCAATCTACCTCTTAATGACTCGCCTCCCTCACAGAAATGCTGAGATTGAAGACAGCTTGGAAGACTCTTTTGACGCCAGCAGCTCCGCCTGAAACATCCACAAACTTTTCCTGTATTATGCTCCACCATATGACTCAGCGACAGGTTGCTCATGTTCTGATGTGCTAGCCCGATCTTATTTGCTATTTCGCGTCTCTGTTTGGAACAACTGAAAGTTCGAGCCGCTGTCTCTTATGTTCCTCAAATGTTCTTTAACTCCTGCCATAGAACTTCGTTTTAACGAGCAGCCATCTATGAGAGGGATAGAAGATTGTATGGTACCGAGCCTGAGGCTTCAGCTCTATCTTCCGTGATTCCCCCACCGTTTGTGACTGAACATGTCGAGCATTCTTCTCACATCACAAAGCAAAGGCATGATGCCTTGTTTCCTCCAAGGACACCTCTCTATGAACCTTTGTTTAGCATTCATTCATCCTCTTGAAGCAGCTATGGTACCTCTGCCGTGCAAGCATAGTACAGTTCATTCTATAATTCTCTCTCATGCATCTAAACCCTACATATGCTAGTACGTCCACTATTTTCGCCTTCCAATGAACAGGTTGTCGAGGCCAAGCATGGTTATAGCTGCACAAAAGAGGCAGCTCAGATCTAGCGATTTTCCAGTTGGTAAAAATTCGTTAGTGACCTTCAGTGCTTCCATCCAAAAGATATGGCAAGACAAGAAAAGGATGACAAATATGAATATCCAGTAAATTGTTGCTCTTCTAGTGCAAACACCTTGCACACACAATTTCCTAATGGGTTGTTTGTGTTATTCATTTCTGCAAAGCACGCATGTGCAGTCACACACTACCTTTAAGGAGGCATTAGCTTTCAATGCCTGGGAAATTTCAGGTTGGGCTGATGTTCAGAGGGGTCACCACCATTGCAACGCTTCACGAACGAGTCGAGTGTTTTCTGCTTGAGAGGGCTATTAGATGTTTTCTGCTTGAGAGGGCTATTAGATGTTTTCTGCTTTGCAGGGCTGTTGCTAGTTGGGTGGCTGGCTGAGACTTCCAACGTATTTTCATGGCCATCAAGCACCTAATATAGAAAGCAGAGTAAGGGATGAAACTCTTCCAAGAGTATCAGTATCACCCGAAGAAAGAGAGACATGCTATCAGGAGCACTACAAAAGAGAGGGTGTAGACGTGGAGTAGTTGTTTCAGGACGATAGGTAGCAGGCATTAATAACAGCAATAAAATATAAAGACGCATGATAATTTAGAGCCAACTAGTGACAGCAATTTACCTGACCCAAATTTTCCAACTTGCTCTGGACAACATCCCTGAAAAGAAATGTTTGACAAAGATGACTGTTTAAAAGTATCACATAATTGGCCACAGTCAATGTGCTCACAATTGTTCCACACTCAATACTCCACATTACCATAAAAGCCTCGGCGAGACTAACAAAAAAGGAATAGCACCTACCAAATTATGTCATCAACAGTGTCATTTGCCAGCAGGTAATATATATTGACTGAAGACACCTGAAAATAAAACAAACAAGCTTGTCAAGAAACCCATATGGACAGTGTTAGCAATTTAAAAGACAAGGACTCAATATTATAATTGTGAACTAGATGAAACTAAAAATGAGTATCGATGACTAAGTTAAGAAGATGCTACAAGCTGTAGCAGGAGCAAATACTCTTTTACGAGCAACGATCCGAATCAAACCTGATTTACTGATTGAACTATGGTCATCAAATTTCAGACCGTCATTCATGAATTTTAGCGCTCTAAACCAAGCTTTCAGTCAACATAAATAGAAAGCGACGAACTAGTATTGCTGCCAGCTGCAGACTTTGGACAAGTTCGGTCTGTCACCTTGACTACAGTGTTTTACCTGACCAATCCTGTGAGCACGATCTTCAGCTTGGATCAGATCACCTGGTGTCCATGATAGCTCTGCAAATATAACAGTGCTTGCAGCTGTTAAGGTCAGACCAACACCTCCAGCTCTGATTGATAGCTGCAAAATGAATCAAACTTCAGGCTTCATCAATTAAATGAAACGTAGAGGAGAATCAAGAGGAAAAAAGGGTGAAAGTCCACACATCTGATGTGAAAGAACTTGTCATGGAAAATTATGAACTTGAACAAGTAAAAGATAAAGCAACTGTCATACTACTGCTGCCTTTATTGCATCTTTCTCTTGAAAATCAGTAACCAAAGCTTGCCTTGCCACTGCAGGTGTACTGCCATCAATTCGTATGCAACCAACCTTCTTCTTCTTCTGTAAAATTATCAAAACTTGTAAAACGAACGATCAATCTATTAAGTACTAAAAGTTGGTCTTACAAGAAGAAATTCATGTATCGCCTCGATCATTGGCTGATGATGCGCAAAAATGAGAAACTTGCAGCCCGCCTGCCGAGTATAAGCAAGTTAGAATGTTCTGCCTCCAAAATGCAAAATGAAATTGCAGCTTGCAAGAATCTACAGTACTATTAGAGCATGGAGATAAAGCTATCTATAACCTCCAGTACATCAACTAGCACTTAATGTAGAGCATGCCTAATAGCAGCACTAGTGTAGAAAATTTTCACCCAGAATAAGAAAGTTAAATCAGCTAAAGAATCAAATCGTTCATTTGAAAATAATTGAAGCCATTGAAGGCAGAGATTCACTTCATCAGACTTCCATATAAATTTTTAAGAGAACATCATGATCATTCCTATTTAAGCAAGAAATCTTTGGAAAGAATGCGATGTCTTGGCATTTCTTCTTATTTAAAGTCCTAAAATGGTGATATTTAATGGTGAGTCACTCAAATAGCAGAAAATGATATCAAACAATGCCAACGGAAATTCTTTTCATTCTTTAAGAGTCAAAGAAATGCTAGTGCTAGTCTAGATCACACCAAAATTGAGGAGACACTTATTTCCAACATGTTCAGCCAAGGTAAGTATACATGATATTAAATTCAGACATGAAATGCTAAGATTTTCAAAGTAAGAAAAAGAAATGTAGCATCGGAAGGACATACAAGTATGAATAGTTTAAGTATGATCACTGCATTGCAATTCAAACAGCAGGTGATTATAACATTAATCAACGAGAAAAACCAAAAGCTTAACTGTCACAAATTGTTAAATCCAAAATACTAGCCAAATACTTATTGGAATGCAAATGGTCAAGGAAATAGGTCAGTCAATTACCTCAACGACCGTTTCTAAGTAGTCTAAAACTGCTGGGATTTTGGCTTCAGCAGAATCGGTGTATATCTGCAGACAATCAGTGCATTAGAGAATAATATTTTCTTTTCCTCCACATTCATCCTGGGTCGGGGTGGGGGGTTGGTGTTCATAAATACTTCTAATGAACTGAGAAGCATGACCTTAATGGAAATGACTTCACCACAAATTATACTCAGTTTTTACATCTCATGCATATAGACCCGAATACCTTGGTAATCAGGTTCTTTTCAGAAAATTTGAGCGATTCAGCCTCTTCTTTTGATGTGCAGGCCTTGATTCTTTCTTTTATCACCTTTAACTACAAAACAGGAATCAATTGGCAACTTTCTTTCGTCACATGCAGAATGTCATATGCATCTTGGAAGTAAATATAGCGACAACATAATAGTGATTAGCCAGAAACATGATATGAACAAGAACTGTCACCAATCATATACTGCAATTAACCATTCACAAGTCCGAAAAAGAGCCAAAGCCGGAAATATTCATTTTTAGGTAGTTAAGCTAGTCAGGCTCTATCTCTAATTCCATCAAAATATCTAAGAACCAACCACATAGCTTCTCAAAATCTGAAAGTTAATATATGGTATACTAAAAGCACACATGAAGTGAATATGGATTCCACATGCCATGCAACACTTCTCAATAATTGAAGAAGTAACCAGATGCCATATAGATAAAGGCCATTTTATGAAAAACAAATAGTGCCAGCTTTTCCTCTCTAAAATTGGGATCATCTTAACAGTTCTTTTGCTCATTCAATGATGTGAACAACAGCAAGCACAACAAACTAGACCTTATCCCACTGAGTGGGAGCCGTACATAAACACTACTATGTCATTGCGCTCAATCTTGTATCAGATCCTCTCTAAGCTCTAAATACTCCATATCTTTTCTTATTGACTCCATGTTCTTCAAAGTCTTCCCCCACCCATTTCTTATTGATCATATGTCCTCATTGGACCTGAAGGTCTTAGTTTTAACATTACCAAACCATCTAAAACGAGCTTCTCTCATCTTATCCTCGACTGAAGCAACAACTAATTTTTCCCAAACCAATTCATTTCTAATCGTGTCTTTTCTTGCGGGCCGCCACATTCCACAAAGCATTCTCGTATCTATTACACTCATTTGGTGCAAACGTTGGTGTTCAATTGCTCAGAACTTCGTGCTATAAATAATTGTCGGTCAGTGCTGGCTCATTTCAATGGTATCATGGCAATGTATGGCTTTGGTTTCTGTATGCCTCAAACAAGAAACACCAGCTCAGCAGTAATTCTACTGCTGAATATGATGATCAAAGTTGCACCTCAACTTAACAATAGTATCTAGTAAAGCCATATTGACATGTACAAGACAAGGATACTTTTCAGCTGACAAAATTGCAGCTCATAATGCCAGCGCTCCCTCCCTCCCTCCCTCCCTCATACTCACTAAAACCTTACTGACAAAGAACAACAAACGGGTAGTAGAAATATGCTCAGGATTTGAAACAAAGACGTGCTCTGAAAGCTTCAGAAGCTTATAAATATTAAAAGCATGCGAACTAATTTACTCCATGAACAATGGCATGAGTATATGGAAGTCCAAGTCCAATCAAATTATCAAATGCAGACTCATATGATTGTCAGGGATATGAAATGAAACTCCCAAGGTAATAAAAGTTATATTTATTCGTGTGAACAAGATACAAGCTCAAGCTCCAAAACTACAATTCAACTGACTTTGTAGCTACAGATTTTCTCATGATATTATTTATTAACTTTAGATGGCCTGATATTGATATGGTTTGATAGTGCAATAAATAGAAGGATTCTATCAAATTAGAACCAAAGTTCTTATAGAAATAATTCACTACTAGAAAACTTTGAGAAGAGAGAAACTGATACTCCACCCTGAGAACCTAAAATTCCACTTCAAAAGATTACCACCTCACACTGAAATTGTAATTGAAGTCTCTGGATCAAGTTTCGTATGCTTAGGCACACAGAGAAATTAACCAAGGTAAATCAACACATATAGTTAAATTATGCCATAGAATAAAGAAAACATTCTCATGTCCAGTCATCTCAAATCAATCTCATTACCTCACAGAACAAAGCATTGATCCTTTTCATGTCCTTATTAGCCAAATCAAGGAAAACCTGAAACAGAGGCCGACAAAAACTGATGTAACTGGAGATTGACATCATCAGGATTAAGCAAAAGCTCCCCCATGACAAAAGATAAAAGCACTGCAAAAAAAAAGAAAAAGAAAAAAAAGCCATATGGATTACAAATAGCATGGCATTCATTCTCAGATGTGTCTCCACACTCATCTGACTTAAGTCATATTTTGCTCACGGAAGGATCTAAATGGACTACTCAGCAAGTGTAGATCGCCCGTTACAAGTTGAAGAAATTGCTCAAGTTCTAAGGCCAGTGACCTGACTAGCTACATCGGAGCAACAACTCAATTGCTACTTGGAGTTTTCAGAAAGCAAATCTCATTAAGGAGATAAGACTTTTCTTTAGGCTTTGTTTAGAGAAGGTTCTCATTTTCCCCACACTGATAGAAACAAAGAACTTAAACGTAGAAAATTAACAAGCATTGATTAATACGTATGTTACTTAAATAATGGCTGTAGGAGGGCTGATGTACAGGAATGAACGAGTGGAGGATATAAAAAGTTACCTGTTGCCTGCGTTTAACTGGGAGCTCAGAAAGGACTTCCTTTTTAAGCCTTCGGATCATAACAGTTGCCTTCATCAGATTGTGCAATTCTTCATGGTTACTGGAGCCTTGATAAACACCAAAAATTCCCTGAAAAGGTTCTCTTTGTTAAAGAAGCAATCTCCAACAATTATAACGTCAAAGCACAATTATTGGGTAAAGTCAAACATCACATACGCCCTTGCAATATCTTTGACCATATTCGTGAACATTTTTGTAAACATCTGGATAGAGCGCTTCTAGCTGCAACACATAAACAGGTTAAGTAGACACAAACTTTTGATACATAACTCCAGTTCCTAGAAACTTTACCAGCTACAACTTTAAACAATTCAAGTACCTGTTTGTGAAGCTCAATTGGTCTAGACAAGGCAGGAGTTCCGCTAAGCAAGATTGCATATTGAGCTTTCTGCAAAGTTATTATCTAAGTTCAGAGAGAGAGAGAGAGAGAGAGAGAGAGAATATGTTTGTAGTATTTGCATAATGCATTGTCAATAAAAAAATAATCAAAGAGAAAACACGATGCTACAAAAAGTTGTGCACTTCTAACAAACCAGTATTCTAAATGTTAGCTGAAAAAGATGAGGCAACCTTTTGAATAACAAGCAAGCATCAAGCTAAAGATGCATGCCATAACTCATATAAATAATTGCCAGAGGAAAACAATAAAACCTAACAAACAACTTTAGGCTTGAAAAATAGAACTGAAGTCGGATGCTTCCATGTCCAAATCTGTCAGAAGAAAGTGAGTTTTGTGCAATCAATCATATGATTGATGGTGGTCTTCCAGAAGCTTCCTCGATGAAAAATATGCATTAGATGCAAACCAGCCTATAAAAAGCATACGGGCGTTTGGACTCGGTGATGAACGTACTACTATAGAATATAACTGCTTTGTAGAGCACTGGAGTCCGGACAGGCGGACCCCCTCTGTGTAGCATGAAAAGAAAAATGAATGTATATAACCAAGCACTGTATTGTACATTCCTATTGTCTGCCTTGTGAAATGCACATCTAAACTTTCGTCTAGCAGATAAATAGTGCAGATGGCGAAGTAACTGATTCAAATTATTAAAATTTATATAACCTTTATGACTGGAAGGGTAGCAGCTGTCCTCTTAGCTTGTGCATTTTTCAGGAAATGTGATTCATCTGCAATCACAAGCTGTACGAAAACATCAACTTTAAAAGCATGCACAGGAACACAAAAAATAAGGGGGGCTGAATATAAAGAGGTGAAAAAGAATTAGCTAACAGAGGCAGAACATCAAGGATCAGCTTGAAAACTCTACGTTAACTTATTAGGATGGCCATCCTCATCCAATTTACCAGTTTCTATATGTCTAAACAAAGGCAGAACATCAAGCATCAGCTTAAAAACTCCCACGCAGCCATGCTCCTTCACTATGACTTATTTTATCCCGATTAAGACAAATTATGAAATTATCTAAGGTAAGTTAAACAGATGGTCAGAAAGTAAGACTGATTTGTGAGCATTACCTTGAAATCTGATGACATTAGCACATTCTGTAGCTTTTGGACAACATCATAAGAAATTATGTTAAAAAGGCCATCAAGATGTACACTGCTCTTGGTGTTTGAGGACATTATCCTAAATCCACTTCTGTTTGACCCACCACATTGAGATAAAAGAACCTAACAGACAATCACCATTAGCAAGGAAAGAAGAGACAAGGAAGAATATATAGATTAAAGATGACGACCATCAAATAAAAGTCCTAGAAAGCAAGGTCATAGGCACTATTCAATAAATCACCATTTCTGATATCGAGAAAACATATCTTATTAACATATCCAGCAATGCCAGCATCAGAGACATAAGGTCAAAGAGCGCGGCAGCTGAAGCAAGTAACATAGACAAACAAAATAATAACATACAAGTATGTCTGACGAAGGAATATTTAGCCATTGCTGAATCATCTGTCCAAGGAAAAAAGTAAAAGCATTCAGGCCTAAACTGCCATCTTTGTAAAATAATAGTTAAAAAGACTGAAAGCAAACACTCACTGTAGCCCAATGCAAACGCAAGGAAGATGGTGTGAGCACAAGAACAGGCCATGAATCACAAACGCATGCAGCAACAGCAATAGCCTGCACAAACCAAAAGGATAAGAATCTGCAAACTCAAACAAGACAAGTCATTAGTCTTTGGCTCTTGTAAGCATCGTTCTTCCAAATTCCACAGAATTCAGACAGTACTTCCAAAAAAATCTGTAAAAGTCACATAATTTTCTTCTCTCTTTTGTTGCAAAAGAGATCCATGCAAAGACTACAGTTGCAAGACAGATTCTAACATAAATAGATTGTATACACCAAACTTAGAGATTCTTCTGTTCGGAAAACAAAGAGTAGGAAAACAAAAGCAACTCCTCATGAAAATTAAATACTGGTGTTGTTTAATAATAGCATCAAACAATTAAATGCAGAAATCAAACATAACACATCCAAAGAACTGACAATTTATTATCCTTCCAAATGAACTACTACTAAAAAACCAGATATTGCAGGGAATTCTGCAAGAAAGAAAGACAGCCATGGTTGTAAACTAGAGATCAATAATTTAAAGGGATGAAAGGGTAGAACCTGTAAAGTCTTTCCCAGTCCCATTTCATCGGCTATTAGTACGCGAATTCCATGCTGCAAGACAAACCTGACAAAAAAATTTTACACTAGGCAATATTTTATAAATGACTAAATTGAAAACTTAATATTGAATGTTTTAAGAAACAAAACATGTCATAACATTTTCTAACAATAGAACACCATAGTATGTACATACCTAACACCATCCCGCTGAAATGGAAGAAGCTTTGATTCAATATCACTAGGCATACTGCCATATCGTTCTGGCAACATAAAAAAAATCAATGGCTTCATACGACAAAGACGGGAATTAACCCCAAACCAACCCCCCCATCCCCCCAAACAAAAAAAAAAAGTGACTCCAATAAAAAATGTATATTTATTGAGACTTCAAATGAAGCCCAAGTACACTATTTCCTTAATCTCACTATCCAGCTTCGACACTTAAGCATTTTGTTTCGATGCTAGTAATGCACTCAACTAACAATCACTTCAAAATATAGTTAAATCATGCATTTTAATAGAAAGGGTCAAGTTCAATAGTTGAATATAGTGGACATTTCAGATGCATCAACTTTTCACCTTGTAGATCCGGGAGAGCAGATGCAGCAGCAATAGCTCGGCATACCAAGGGATCCAAGTTCACTATCTGCCAAAACAAGGGGGTACATTGTTAGTTGACAGGTAACATGAAGCGAATGATGGCCATAGAAATGAATATTCATAAGTTTCGGAATAGGGCATTTCCATCGACAACTTGCATAGTCAACACCAACCATTGCCAGTTATGAAGTGTAAATTTGGCAACACGTCCATACCTTATATGAGACCTCGCAAGAAGATAAACTCAACTTGCATTTCTATCTATCCTAAGTATGCATATACTCATACAGCACATAATAAACTTATTTTAGTGAAAAACGATGGGAAGTTATGAGTTACCACCTCAATTCTAGAGCCACATTCTTCAGCGAGAACTTTTTCGGCTGATGGCAAAGAAGATAGTGGGAACATCCATATTCTGCAGTTCAATAACACCACCTGTGAGTATGCTATGTGGCTGGAAACTTAAAGCAAGTTCACAAGCCACGCATCCATGTTGGGTGTTTCACACACACGGCCGCTTGTAGAGCGAGAGAGAGATACCTTTCTTTAGCATTCCAACTGGCTTTAGGGATCTTGCGGAAAGCAGCAACAATGACCTGGTGGCAGCCAAATTTAAATGGGGAACAACATAAAAAAAAAAAAAAAACCTCTTTCAGTGTTCAAATAAAAAGACTCTTTCACTGCAACTGATGTTCGAAAATACCAACAAACCTGGTCATATGAAAACTTTGCAGCAACATTTCCACTGGCACGAAGATAAAACTTAACAGACGACTTGGGCAGCTCCTTCCGAAGTTCATCTAACAAACAGTTCACAGCGAAGTCGAAAAATCAACATCAGACCGCCGCTACCGAAACCAGACACAAACATTTTCAGCCAAAACAGGACAAAACAACATCAGCCCTCATCCCCACAACTTGGGAAAGAAAATCGAAGAGGAGCAACAATTCACCAGCACCTGCCCCAGACGTGGCCGGTAAATCTTCACCCTGCACAACCACGACCGATCAGAGCCGCATTCGCTAAAGCACTCCCGAGCAATCATACCCCCAAAAGAAAGTTACGACAAACAAAAATTCACTCGCGAAAAACGAAGCCGCGGGCAAAAAACCTCGTTGGGTCGAGAATCGGAACCGACCCGAGTGCTGTTCCGGCCGGCGTTGCCCGGAGCGGGAACGGGAGATCGCGGCCGGTCCCGAGCGACGTCGCGCGACCGGGAGAGCTGCTGGAGAGCGTCCCGTTCGAGGGAATCCAAGTCTTCAGCGCTCAAATCCCAGTCGTCGTCGTCCATCCCCGGGGCTCAAATTTCGCGCCTTTTTCCTTGCTCCTCCTTCACCACCGGTAAATGCTTCAATGGGGGTTTGCAGATGACTTTTTCCCTTCTGGGTTTCTTGGAAGAGGATCGAATCTGACGGAAAGTTGAGTGCTTTTGCAGTCGCTCCTTGAGACTGCACTAGCTGTTTCGATCACAGAGGGAGAGAGAGAGAGAGAGAGGTGCTATTGAACTGAGGAAGAATGAGTAAAGATTTTTCCAAAGTACGGTGGGGAAGAACACTAGAAGCGTCGAAACTTGCGTGCAGAATGCTATATTTTATTAATTTCTCAGTCCCATACGGTACGTTGGTGCTGACGGGATAATATTTAATAATAATTTTTTTAATTTTTCCTTCTTTTCTTTTCTTTTTTCTTCTTCTACCTTTGACTGGTGATCGGACACTGACCACCGGCCATGGCCGGCCGCTTGGCCTCGCTCGAACGAGACCGCCGTCACCCGTCACAAGCGAGGCCCCGCCCGGTGAGGGGGGGCGATCCCCGGCGAGGGTCGGCCTCGCCTCGCCTGGGGAAGGGCGAGCTCTAGTGAGGCCGGCCCTCGCCCAGGCCACGGCGGCCTCGCCGGGGCTCGACCGCCCTCGCCAAGTCGGGCCTCGCCTGTGGTGGGCGAGGACGGCCTCGTTTAGGCGAGGCCAGGCGGCCGGCCATGGCCGGTGGCCGATGTATCTGGTCACCGGCCAAAGGTAGAAGAAGAAGAAAGAAAAGAAAAAAAAAAGAAGAAAAAAAATAGGAAAAAATATTTAAAAAATCGAAAATATATACATGGAAATGCCACGTAGACTGATTTTAAAAAAAAAATCCAACTCATATTAAAATTTTAATTATAAAAGCCACATATTTATTTGATCGGAATTTCTCGCTGTTAGCACTTAAGTGATCATTTTTTCTCCGATTTGGCACTTAAGTGTGCCAACGAAAACTTTTGGCACTAAAATGAGCGCCGTATACAAGTTTTGACACTTCTAATATTTTTCTCCCAAAATATAACACAAGAGCTGAACCCATTAAGGAAGTCACCAAGAACATGTAACCAGAAAAATGAGAATGCCACAGTGTTTACTCGATCTATAGATCCAAAATACTCAGCGAATGTAATTAATGTCTTTGCAACATTATGGGGAGATGATTATATCTTTGATCTGAATTGGGGAGAAGTGATTTCGATAGTCGGTACATTTACATCATTGGCATTCGCATACGAGTTTGACGTTCTGTCTTATTTACCATGTCTTATCGGTCGTTCAAACTAATGTCAGATGATATGTGCCAAAAAGCTTGTAAGGCAAAGAAGGGGAGGTTCCCAGGAAAGAGCATTTTGGCTGCTGGTCGGTGGCTTAATTCCCTTGAAAAGCACCAATTTTAAGTCAGGTCTAAATTCTGTCTCAAACTTTTTTATCTCATAAAAAAAGTACCAACTTTATGTTGGATCTCCATTCAGGCCAACTTTTTGTTGTCTCATAAAAAATTATCAACTTTTAGTCAACCCAAATCCTACCTGGGTCAAGTTTGCATCCATTGATGCTCCGTTAAAGATTCAATGTGTCATTCTATATGTACACGGCATATTCTAGACGGAAACTCAATAGGGTTAGATTTGGGCACCAACTAAAACTTGGTGCATTTACTTGGGAAAAAAAAAGATCGGGCTAGAATTGAGATATGAGCTAAAGTTTATATTTTTTGGTAAGGACAAAAAAAAAGTTTAGGCCAAGATTGAGACCCGAGATAAAGTTTTTTTTTTTTTTGTGAGACAAAAAAAAAAATACAGGGCAGAACCGAAACTTGATTAAAAATTGGTGCTTTTTAGAAGAATTGGGCCGCTGATCCGTATAAACTGAATGCATGGACAAGGAGGAACCTTCCTGGTGATGTTCCTCAGAAGGGCAAAAGCGACAGACTTGACCCTTTTGTAGATGTGTTCAAGGATTCCAAAGCTTTTGGGGGGTCTTGTTTACATATAAGCAGTGACATTAATGAGCATAGTGTAGCCGCTTGCTTCTGCTTCTCTAACGCCCAAGAAAGGTCTTGTGGGCTCGTCTTCTGAGGACTTTCTGGTTTTGATTCTCTACTCATCCTGATTGCATCAAACATCAAGCTTGATCAGGTACATTTCCTAAGCACCCTAGACATTTCGTAGAATTCGGTTTGGAGTTGTTGTCGAGCCAGGGGTTTATAGAATTCAGTTCATTGACGGGTGTTAAGTATGCCGGGTGGGTTGCCGAAGCCTGTGGTTAGAAGAAAGATGAACAGACTTCAGTTTTCTCTGTTGTCTTGTTTGTTGGAGTTCGAAGTTAAAGCGAAATGAATCTGTTTAGGTTTGACTCTGGGAACATGGCGGCAAAGTTACTGTTCCTAGTCCTCTGTCTCTGGTGCCCAAGAATGATTTCTTCGAGCGGCTTAGTAAGAATAGCGTTGAAGAAGCAACCGCCAGATATCTTCAGTATAAGTGCATCGAGAAATAATGGCAGAGCCAGAAAATACGTCAAAGCGCATCAGAGTGATGCGGCTTTGGATGATCTTCCTTTAAAGACTCACTTAGATGCTCAGTATTTTGGAGAGATTGGTATTGGCTCGCCGCCTCAGAACTTCAGTGTCATCTTTGACACTGGCAGTTCCAACCTTTGGATACCTTCATCAAACTGTTTCTTCTTCTCTGTGAGTATTAACTTGTAAGAAATATCTCTTCGCTTTCCCTTCATTGTGGTTGCTTAAAAGGATATTTTTCAATGCAGATTGCTTGCTTTCTGCATCATAGATACAACAGTAGCCAGTCCAGTACATATAGTCCAAATGGTAATGATCTCGACCTTGGTTCTGATAATTTCAATAGCGGGTCATTTATTTGTTGATTGCATTTAATGAATAGCTTCTTGATTAAGGCGCTTGTTTTGCATCTCTCGGCTTCGATTTTTCATCTTTAGGAAAACGTTGCAAGATCCCGTATGGATCTGGATTCATTTGGGGGCATTTCAGTGAAGATGTCGTGCGAGTTGGGAAACTTCATGTGAAGAATCAAGTAGGGGTTTGTCTGCACAAAATTTTCAACTTTTCTTGGTGAATCTTTAGGCATCAAATTGTAATTTTCTGTGACTCGCCATTATTTAGGTCTTCATTGAAGCTGCGACTGAGTGGAGTCTTCCTCTCGCGTCAGCGAAATTCGACGGGATTCTCGGGCTTGGGTTTCGAGAAATTTCAGCCGCAAACACTTTGCCAATTTGGTAGACACCGAGTTCGCTATGTCTACAATATGTTATCATAAAATTAAAGCTGCAAGATTTTGTTCTCTGGAGGCACATTTTCATCTTTTGATGCTCTGGAGTCTGGTCTTAGGTACAACATGGTGCAACAAGGTCTAGTTAGCCAAAAGGTCTTCTCTTTCTGGCTGAATCGAGGCTCGGAGTCTAATAAGGGCGGAGAAATCGTTTTCGGAGGTGTCGATCCAAAACACTTCAAAGGCAATCACACTTATGTTCAGGTCACTCAAAGGGGTTACTGGCAGGTGACACTCCCTTCTTTCATTCCGTCAAACTCTCTCAATGCCGATGTCACTGCTCCCTTTGAAGCATAACAACATCCTCTCTTGCTGTTTCTAGATTCCACTTGGAGATTTTCTAATTGGAAACCAGTCTACAGGTAATAATCCACTGTCGATAGGACACTAGTTGACCATACTAACATGTGAAGTCCAAATTTTTCTCAATGTTTTAAGGCATGAGGAAAGAATCGACTGAATCGTCAGTTCAAGTTTCAGGGGTCTGCAGTGGTGGTTGTGCCGCCATCGTGGATTCAGGCACATCCTTCGTTGCCGGACCAACGGTACAGAGCGTCTGTCTCTAAGAATATCACTAGTGCTTCTGGTGACATTAGCTGAAAAGAAAATCCTGTGTGACAATTGCTACAACCATAATTTGATCCTCTCCAGGCAATTCTGGCTGAAATCCACAAAGCAATCGGTGCGAAAGGACTCGTGAGCATGGAGTGCAAGCAAGTAGTGTCCGAGTATGGGGATCAGATGTGGGAGCTACTGATATCTGGTGTATGTCTCATCGATTCAGTCTGTCTGCCGCGCAAATAGTTTAGCATATAGACAAAATTACATTTGCCATATATCTAATTCCCATCTCCGGCAGCTGGAACCCAGGAAGGTTTGCTCTAGAATCGGTCTGTGTTCTCATAACGACTCATGGCCCAGCAGGTGACGATGCCCGACCACAGATCTTTCTTTCCTTCTGTCGAGTGACATTTCTTTCTGTGCTCAAATGTAAAATCGGGCTAATTGCAGCAAAATAATCAAAGAGGTAGTCCAAAGCGAAAGTGCCGGTGAATCAAAAGTCGGTGAAGACTTTTTCTGCTCGGCCTGTGAGACGGCAGCTCTGTGGATCCATACCAAGCTTCTACAGAACAACACAAAAGAAAGGACATTCGAATACATGGACAAGGTGCGAACAATTTCCTCACTAGGCTTCTGATATCAATTTTGTCTGTCTCATAAAAGCTGAATGATCACCAACGTGTTTACTCGCGTTCCAGTTGTGCGAGCGCTTGCCAAATCTGATAAGACAAGTAGCTGTCAACTGCGACAGCATTCCGACCATGCCGCCTGTTTCCTTCGTCATTGGAAACAGATCTTTCGAATTGAATCCCAAACAGGTAAAGGACTCGAGGAGTCATCAAACTAGTCTTCCCCTCACCTCCGTTAGCTTCGAACTTCTCGAATGGAACAAAACACAAGAACTCCATACTCTTTAGAGTCTCCGACCTACCCGACCGCACGTTGTCGGCGATCTCGTCCATTGTCCCACTCGGGGATTTATCCTCTCTTCCTGTGTTTGATTTGCAGTACATAATGAAAGTCCATCGAGGACATTCGGCCATCTGTGTCAGCGGGTTCGTGCCCTTAGAAGTCCCTCCTCCTCAGGGCCCCCTCTGGTACGCGTCCTAGAGACACGGGTTCTCGGCGCGATGAGCTATTTCGCGGCGTATAATGTGGTTGTCCTAATGTTCCGCAGGGTGCTCGGAGAGATCTTCATGGAAGCGTACCACACCGTGTTCGACTTCGGCAATCTCCGCATAGGATTCGCGGACGCGGCATAGCAGTACTAGCAGAGCATCGCCTCGCGCATCGGCACTAGATTGTACGTAAAAGAAAGTCTCTGAGGAAACCATTGTGGGCTATACGACAGCAAGTAATGTCGAAGCTATTGAAGGTGGTGTGTAGAGAGTGGCACTTGATGGTATTTGAATTGTGAAAAGAGCGAAAAAAGGAAGTATGATCGAACAAAAAACAAGAGAGGAACTGCACCAGCCGGGAATCGAACCCGGGTCTGTACCGTGGCAGGGTACTATTCTACCACTAGACCACTGGTGCCCTTTGTTGCATGTATATCTAATATTAGTTCCAATTCTTCCTCATTACATGAGTGATGCCCTTCCTCTGTCTCCTGATTACTTTCAGCACGTACTTACCTTTCTGGTCCATACGTACATGAGACTACGAAAGTAATTTCTGGGACGATTGGGAGGAAAAGAAAGAGTACTGTATCGAGTGCTAAATTAACCCGAAAATCGAGAAGCCGAACCGAAGCGATACGGTTATTTGGCTTATTGTGTTATTCGTATGGCTTTTGGTCGACGGTTTCTCTTGCTAGCGTAATACGTATGTCGATAGGTTTCCCGTAACTAGACACGACAAATGAGTGGATCAGATAAAAAATGGTCCGATCCAAATTGATCCATTTAACCTATTTTGATTCATTTTCATGCAATACAAAATCTAGTGACTTATATCCGATTCAACCCATACACAACACATACTCGATCGGACTGAAGCACTTCCATATTTAACCAATTTTAGGAAAATTCATACACAAACTGAGGTGAAAGAGCGAAGCAGCGAGGGCGAGATCGAAAGAGTGAAGAGAGGGTCATAGAGGTGGATTTGGTGTAAGTAAGTTGTGAACTCATTTAACATCAATAATATTTTGAGCCTATCATTCTAAATCTATTCATTGAATTTAAGTAACCCATATAATAACTCAATCAATTAAAATGGATTAAGAAATGAGCTTATGACTCATTTTAATAGTTCTATTCGTAACCAAATTTGGATGAGCTGATGGAGAAAACTATGAGTCTAAGGCTCCGTTCGTTTGGCGGAAAATATTCTCTCGGAAAATATTTTCCGGGTTTTCCGGTGTTCGGAGGGCAGAAAACGTTTTCCGTGGGAAAATATTTTCCTTCCCCCCTCACAAAATAGCCTAAGTCTACGGAAAATGACTTCCGCTTCTTCAAAAGCGGAAATCATTTTCCGGAGCTTCTTCTTCTTCTTCTTCACTAAGGTCGCCGGCGGCCGCACGCCGGTCGCCGTGGCCGCCGCCGTCGCCGCCGCCTCCGCCGGCCGCCGGACGTTGGCCGTCGGCCGCCGCCGCCGCCGGTCGCCGCCGCGCCGGTGGCAGCGGTCGGACGCCGCCGCCGCGCCCGCCGCCCGGTCGCCGCCGCCTCCGCCCGGCCGCCGGGCGTTGGCCGTCGGCCGCTTTGCCGCCGCCCGGTCGCCGCCGCCGGTGGCCGGCCGTCGGACGCCGCCGCCGCCCGCCGCCGGTCGCAGGCGAAAAATATTTTCCGAAACTTTTTTATATTGGTCGCCGAACACCGGAAAATTATGTTCCGGGAAAACATTTTCCAGGAAAATGACTTCCGGGAAAATATTTTCCAAAAGGAGAATATTTTTCGCCAAACGAACGGAGCCTAAGAGAAGAACCTCCTTTGTATACGTGGACGACGACCCATTCGACCTTCAACGAATGAGAAAGCAAAGGGAACAAAAGTGAAGCTGGGAGAGCAAGATCATGAGCACCTTACATTACGTTGCGAGAATCATCCTTGTAGGGCTACTTAGGTTGCGCATGACAACTTGTTAAATAGTGTTTGATTCTGTTCTTTTATTCCCAGAATTAGTTTGGGAACAGAAATCCGTTTGTTTAATTTTTTGATTCTGGGCACAAATTCTTGCAAATTTGTCCCGAATCGTTTTGGAGTGAGAATCGAGAATAAAAAAAAGTAGCTTCTTGATTCCGGGAACAAAAATGAGAATCAATTTTTTTTCTTCTTCTTTTTCTTGGTTTTTAATGTAGCTTCTAATGTCCGGCGTGAGGGCCACCCTCGCCGTATCTGGCGAGATTAAAATATTTTAATAAAAAAATATTATTAATAAAAAAATTTTACCGGCCATGGCCAGCGACCAGGCCATGGCGAAAAAAATATAAAAAATATTATTAATAAAAAAAATTTTATCGGCCATGGCAAAAAAAAATATTATTAATAAAAAAAATTTTACCGGCCACGGCCAGCGACCAGGCCATGGCGAAAAAAAAAATATTTTAATAAATTTTTTTATTAAAATATTATTAATAAAAAAATATTTATAAAAAAATATTTTACCGCCCATGGCCAGCGACCAGGCCATGGCAAAAAAAAATAAAAAAAATAATTTCAATAAAATTTTTTTTATTAAAATATTTAAAAAAAATTATTAATAAAAAAATTATTTATAAGAAAATTTTTTACCTGCCATGGCCAAAAAAAATAAAAAAATTATTTTTAATAAAAGTATTATTAATTAAAAAATATTTTACCGGGCATGGCCAAGAAGGAGGAGAAGACAAAAAGAAAAGAAAGAAATATTAAAATATTTAAAATATTATTAATAAAAAGAAATTTTATGCCGTTACCAAACACATTTCTGTTCCCGGGCACAGAATTTTGGGCCGTTACCAAACGCCTTCAAATGCTCAGAATCAGTTCCCGGGCACAGAATAAAAAAGAATCATTTCTGATCAGAATCTGTTCCCAGGCACAGAATGGTTGCCATGCGCAGCCTTAGTGCTTGCGATGCTGGGAGATGCCACCCCCGACATGTCGCTCGTGTATAGAATATGCAACGGACATACGTTTGATCGTTTCTTTACTAGCTATCAAAGTTATATAGATGACGTTATGGATGACTTGTGCAGCGGTATGCCGACCCATGGGTGCAATTACCACGCTAGCCCTCACGACATCTACGGCCATGGGGCATGTAATGGAGCGGGTGCCCGGAGATTGCAACAAGTGCATTCAGAAGGCTGGAGATGACCTTGGAGATATGTGACCAGAGACTCGATGTGGAAATCCAATTTATAGACTGTAGAGTTAGATACGAGAATTACCAATTTAATGAATAGTTAAGCCTTATGCCGATGATGATGATGTTAGAGCTCATCAACATACCATAAGTTCGTAGATGCTACTACGTATTCTGGCTGCTATAATAAGTTATTTCCATTTTCTACAATGCATAGAGAAAATCCATGTCATCCGAGTACTTATGTAAACGGCTTACAAGTTGTCCATGTTCAATAAATTGCACAACTCTTGTCATTCCTGGGCTTACAAAAATATCATATTAGCATACCAAAATGTTCCTACTATGTAGAGGTTCGAAAAAGTTATGTTCCGGAGAAACTTGCTATACAAGAAATTTGGTGTTTAATTTGATATGCTTGGGAAAAGATGCAACATTCGGTATTCATTGTCTTGAACCGTGAGAAATTGTAAAGTTTCAAAGTAAAGAGTGAAATAGCATGATGAGCTATTATACAAAAGTTTTCCTAACATGCGTTGCCTTTTCTCCTTTCGTGACATGAGATTTAACCTAAATTTTGTTCTATAAAATATCTTGCTAATCTCATGAATTAGGTATGAAGGAGCCAAAAATCGATTAGATGGATCAAATATTATATTGTTTGCACTTACTCATGTCGTGGGTAATGGGAAAAGTGTCAAAAAAGTCATAAACCTTTAGCATTTATGCCAATTCAATCCTAAATTTTTTTTTATGCCAATTCAGTCTTAAACCTTTTGCATTGGTGCCAATTTAGTCCTAAACCTTTTGTATTGATGCCAATTCAGTCCTAAACCTTTTGTCTCTGTGTCAATTTAGTCCTTCCAGCCAATTTTGGCCGGATTTTGTTGACGTGGACGTCGGCGGACTGGCAGCCGGTCACCGGCATTGACGTGGACAACTTTTAATAATATTTTAATATTTTTTTGAATTTTTATTTATTTATTTTTTCCTCCCCTCCCTCCTTCCTCCAGCCAGTGAGGTTGACCTCGCCGGCCACTAGCAAGGCTCACCCTTGCCAGCAACGGCGAGGTCATGCCTCGCCCAGCCGCCAGCGAGGCTCGAGCCCTCACCAGAGGCTTTCGACCTCGCGGACTCCGGCGAGGGCTCGAGCCTCGCTTGCGGCTGGGCGAAGCCCAACCTCGCCAGAGGCCACGAGGTCCGAGGCCTCTGGCAAGGGCTCGTGCCTCGCCCGCCCAGTGCGAGGCCGTCCTCGCGGCCATTCGACGAGGCAGAGCCTCGCCAGTGGCCGACGACCGGCTGGAGGAAGGAGGAAGGGGAAGAAACAAAATAGAAAAAGAAAAAATAATAAATAAAAATTCAAAAAATATTAAAATATTATTAAAAGTTATCTACGTCAACGCTAGTGGCCAGTCGGCGTCCACATCAGTAAAATCCGGTCAAAATTGACCGGAAAGACTGAATTGGCATAAAGACAAAATGTTTAGGACTGAATTGGCACCAATACAAAATGTTTATGACTGAATTGGCACCAATACAAAAGGTTTATGACTGACTTGACACCAAAAAAAGGTTTAGGACTAAATTGGCACCAATGCAAAAGGTTTAGGATTGAATTGACACCAAAAAATGGTTTAGGACTAAATTGGCACAAATATAAAATGTTTATGACTTTTTTGACACTTTTTCCTGTGGGTAATGATGTTGGCCAATAGTATTGCTTAGAGAGGGCGAATAGATGATTTTAAGAAACTTGACAAATATTGCGGAATAGTAAACGCAAAAGTTGATATAAGCAAAAAGTAGTAAGTTGATTCAAGGACCGTTAATTATATCAAGTGTAATGCGCTTCTATCAAACAAATATTGAAATAAGTAGAAAGATAGAATGATAAAGGCAGAGATTTATAGTGATTTGGCTTTGTATAAGCCTACGTCCACTCTCTCAAACTAGCAGCTCGTTGGTTGGATTTTGCTAGTAATCTTTTCAACAGTAACACAGTACTACGTGCTACTTCTACCCAAAGCTGGTGCTGCTTATACCTGAAATTGATAGATCACACTATCACACACCCAAGCATTGCTACAACACTAGCACGCTCCTCACTTAGATTACAATCAGTGATAATCACTTTCAGTAAATAAACTCTCGCTTAACAACTGAATAAGAGTATAAGTGTATATAGCTTTATCTAATTCGCAGGTTCTATCTTTTTTGGCGTAAGTTGGTCTTCTTATATAACCTTCAAACTCCAAACCAATGATTAAAAAATCATCAAGAGCATCAATTTAGCCATTGAAGATAAGCAATCAAATCAGTAGAGATTTGGTCACCCATACAATCATATATTCTAGTAATATCGTAGCTTCCATGAATAAAGTCATCAAATTACGAAATAATCCTATCTGCTAGATGATTGACAATCAATCAAGATATCACGCATAATAAAGATCTTCCACGTAGATATTCCACAAGATTGGTATTCAATCAATATATTCGTTTAGGAATACAAGTTAGATCACTAGCTGTTATAAATATTTAGATAAAGATCATCATGGGATATGTTATTCTAGATTTATAGAGCACGTAATAAAGTGTCATGTAGGTAATATAGTCGCTCTACTTATATCAACAGTTCCTAGTGAAATTTGATTCCCGATTATATCTAGCCTTCCAAGCATATTAGCAATCATGGTTCTACACCTATCCATGGTACCTCCAAACTTTACCGAAATCCCCATTCTAGCCTTGTTCACATTTTACTCAGGTATCTCCAGCTTGTAGATGACTCCACGCCCAATGCCTTGGTCACCATTGATAAAGATCTCATAACCTTTAGATGCCCTATTAGACACCATCTGTATAATGGCTTGTGCATCTTTCACCTTCTTTTACTTAACCAACAAACACATTAATAGTATTTGATTATTTTGTCATCTGCAAAACATCATAAAGGATTTTCCCAACAAGTAAATCTACTTACATTGATGCATAAATAATGATACTTTGATAAATGGGTTCGTATGAATGATCATATAAACTTGTGGGTTTATTTCAACTAACTATTATGCCATAGGTTGTTCAAGCAATGTGGAACATTTCAACACCCTCTCATGTGCAAGCTGGATTAGGAGTGGCACGCGACAATTTGACTAACGAGAGTGAACCCTCAAGAGAGAGGGGCAAAACCTAGCTCCAATACAATGTGAGAAAATCCCATCCAAAAGCTTAATATCATAAAAAGATGATGACCACACATACATAAAACATATAAAACTCATTGTCAAGCGATGCGGGAAATTTCAAAAATATAATTTGTATTCAACTTTGGAGAGAGAGGAGATCGAAGTGGCAAACTCCCACTTATGATGGAAATGATCCATTGTCATTGACAACCGCACCAATGTGGCTTTTCACTTTCAAAATAGGGCAAAAGATTAAAAAAAACTCTACAAAGAGTTCTAGGTTTCATCAATTCTATAGAACAAATTTTTCATGCATCGCGATATAAGTTAAGTACCACTTACTCCAAAATTCAGCTGGTGTAGTAAGTAAAATCATACGAAAAGAAAAAAAGGGAGATTCAACTATTCAAATATAATGATATCATATTTTCATTATCTTAACATGTTAAGCTCCCAAAAAGGTTTCTCTTAGATGCTCTTTCGTTAATAATGTGGGGAAAATTTTCCAAAAAGTTATAAACCTATGTCACTTTTGTCAATTTAATCCTAAATCTTTTAATTGTGACAATTGAATCCTAAACATTTTCACGTTTTGCCAATAAAGTCCATTAAGCTAATTTTGGTCGGAAATCGCTAATGTGGAAGCTAGTCGTCCTACATGGCACGACCGGAGCTGACATTGACAATTTTTAATAATATTTCAATATTTTTGAATTATTTATTTATTATTTGTTCTTTTCTTTCCTTCCTTTTTTTACCCAACTGTGGGCTGGCGAGGGCCGACACCCTCGCCTATGGCAAAGTTGCAAACAAACAAAGAAAAGAAAAAACTAATAAAAATATTAAAATATTATTAATAATTATCCACGTTAGCGTTTGCTGTACCACGTAGGACTTCCGAAATCCACGTAAGTGATTTCCTATCAAAATTGGCTGGATAGACTCAATTGGCAAAACGTGAAAGAGTTTATGACTCAATTGGCATAATTAAAAGGTTTATGACTGGATTGCAAAAGTACAATGGGTTTAAGACTTTTTTGATAGTTTTCCCCAATGATATGGTTTAGTAGAAGAGTCTTGAAGGAAAATGTCCTTTGCTTCTTTGACTTTCTAAACCTCAACGAAGAATTCAAGCTTTTTTTTATGAAGAATTTACTCTAAAACAAAATTCGTGGAAGGCTATCGTATATGAAGAACTTGCCATCAAAGTCGAGAATATTTTAGGTGACGCCATGAAAGCACGTACCAAGTCGTCAATGCTATCGTATATGAATAAGAACTAAACAAGAACAAAAGAAAGAAAATGTGCAATATTCATATACTTGTAACAGTTGGAGAGGGGTATTCTTTATTATGAGGATAATAAAAACTTGTATACTAAGGTAAGTGATGACGTCATCATACCATGCGTGAGATAGACAGATTCATTCCATTTCAAACTTTGGTACAAAGAATGCAAGAATAAATTAGTTAGAGACGATGTCAACATTAGCCAAAGCAATAAAAAAGGACTAGCACAAATCGGTTTTACACAACACAGATACTAATTAACAGGATTAGAGTATACTTAGTAAAAAGCCAAAAAGAGCCTTTCACACCTAACACATACAAAATTGGAGGAGAAACCTATTAGAACGAAGCTCTATCGTATCAACACATGAATCCATTCATGGGTCCTATTAGAACAGATGAAGTCCCTTCAATTATACACACATCATCCAAAGCTAATGCGTGATATATTTATACAATCCTCGTGAGGTTATGAGAAAATGGCGTAGCGGAAGAAAGGAACGTTAAGAAGCATCATCATGGGCAATAATAATGCTAGTACTAGTGCTATTGTTGTTGCAACCATTCGTGTCATTGTTGAGCATTCCAGGATGAGATGCGCTTGTACCTACTATTGAAGAGATGGCCATGGCTAATGCAGAACCAAAATTAGGGTCGCTAGCGATCGTTGCTCCAACGTTACCCATCAATGAAGAAGGGCATTGATTGCTTAATAGCAAGTGATGCACTTGTGGTGGTGGCGGCAACATGTGCATCATTGGATGCCCTAGGAATTGGGGGCAACCATTAGAAGGACACAAATAAGGGATATTTAGTGTTTGAGAATTGGGTGTTGATGAAAGGACTCTTTGGCTTTGCAGAGAGTGGTTATTAGCAAGAGGAGTTTGGGCCAAGTCAAGTGTGATTGTGGGGTAAGTAGGGGATGAGGAAGAAAGAGAAGCCATGGTGGAGGAGTTAGTGTAGAGGAGGTGATGTGGGAACAAGAAGTTGGAGCTTGAGAGGAAGTTAGGGTTGTTGTTGCTATTGGGGACGGTTGCGGTTGAGCCGGAGAGGAGCATTGTGGCAGCAGCGGAGGTGGTGTTAGCAAGGACGGTGGCCGCTGGAGAAAGTGGGTGGTTGTGCTTCCCTTCGTATGTTGTTATTAGGATGGTCTTGTCTTGCACACATCTTTGGACCTGCGTTGATTACGATAATTCCGTATGACAAATAGAGAAACAAAGAAGCGAATCGGACTACTTTTTCTTTCGGGCATCGTATCATAGCAAGTGTAAGTCCGGCTCATTTCACTTAATCAAATCAATCACATATTAAGAATCTGTAGAACTCATGGTGAGTCTCGCTAAAAGTACAAGTTCTTGTATACTTTATAAACTGTGATTGATTCTGTCTATCACGTTATATATAAAATGAGTTTTCACGATATTTTTTTAGGCACTTAACTCCCCTATGGCATTAAAAAAATCAGCCAATCAAAGAAAGCAAAATCAAATTTGAAGGGAAAGAAACTAAAGAAGTGGATAATATCAAAATGAAGATAATGAACAGATGAAGCCAAACCTCATTGACAACCCGAACACCTCTAGAAGTCAATGTTCTTGGTCAATGAAGTGTAACTACACACAATATTATTATATGCTTGACGTACAACATGTGTATATCTATCAGAATCAGGAGCATTCAGCATATGAGGTTATAGGTTAAATTCTCAGAGTTTAACAGAGAAAGTTACATGGAAAATCCTTCAAATTCAAGAATTAGCATGCAATCGGACTGAGACTATCTGTCAAGTGAAAGAGAAAGAAAGTTCCTCAGAACTTCTTTCGAAAACCTTCAATTTTCAGACAACGTAAGTCATTTCTTTACAGGTTTCATCTTTCTTTTCATGAAAATGTCATCATGATTACGACGTAGTCAGTCAATTTATCCCTGATTGGAACTCCACGTTCAGCATATTCAAAGTCAACATATAGAAGGTCATCTTTTTCCTTGGCGTGATATTAGGGTTTCATAAAATAGGTCAAAAAAAGAACAAGAAATCCATTTTGTTAATTTTGACATATTCTTCCAATTGTCGAATTAGGTGTTGTATACCTGCTTACGAACTGGGCATCCGTTGGCCATTGTGCAGCGATAGTAGGCTCGCGGACAAGGGTTTCCTTTTGCGAGTTTTTGACCATACTTCCTCCATTGACACCCATCACTTATCTGGAACAAAAAATTACAGAGCTCATTGATCATCATTTTGATAGACTAGTTATGCTAAGGGAGTTCTCTCTAAAGTATGGATCTTCACATAGAGATGAAGCATTACTTAGTTAACTACCTGTATTGCGTAGAAGACCAAGAGTTCAAATATACCCGAATCACCAGACTTTTAGTTAGATCCTTTGTTCAAAGATCATGATGTATGATTTTTAAAGATATATAAATAAATTGTGCATTAATATTGACCATGATGCTGATGTGATCAATCATCTGGAAGATTTGATTGATTGATGGATGCAATCTAGGCAGCGAAAAATAGGCGATCGATCATATGGACTCGAAAAAAAAATGAAGGGGGAAGAAGAAATCTAACCATAGGTGCATCAGATCGCGCCCTTATCGACACCCTCGCCTTTCTATAAGAACCCTGATGACCCGAGACTTGATCTTGATGATTATCAGGATCTTCCTCTTCTTCTCTTACTATGTTCTTGCCTCTTGCCGTAGTTGGACTTTCTAGGGTTCTCACAGACTGAAATGTTTGACCATCATCAGAGTTGGTCTCGTTTGTTGATGACCATTCTCTCTTCCTCCCTATGCGGCTCACCATGTTCTGATCATCACACTGTTGATCTGTTATGCCAGCTTCCACTGATGGCTCCAATCTCTCTCTCAGAGTATCACCATAAGGTGACACCCCAGCATTAGCAAGCGCCTCATCTTTGAACTGATGGGGAAGCAATAGACAGAAAAACAAAAAACGTTTGTTCTTTTACTTTCCTGAATCTGCTGATTTGTGATGAAGAGAAGTTAAGAATACAAAGGCAAACAGTAGACCACAGCATTTTAAATATAGCAAAGCTGATAAACCACATAATCTGCTTATATATACATGGTTCCAAAATTTGGAGAAAATTTTTGTAGATGTATATATATTCTCTTACTTCCCCCAGAATTTCAATTGAGATTTCCAAGCAAACATACAGTAATTGTGCTCCTAATTACAGTTAAGATTATTATTACCTTGTGATTGATTGATGCCTTTCTTTGCATAATTAGAAGAAGATGGGATTGAATAGCAGTGTAACTTTTGGAGACCCACTCCAACATGCTCCTTAGCTTTTGGTTCTCGTTCTTTAATTCCTCCAACTTGACCCTCAAAGATCTCAGCTATTGATCAAATTCATGAACACATAGATATTACCCATACCGTTAATTACAAAATCAAAAGAAAAGTCTTGGGAAATCAACACACATGTATATCTCATGTCAAACCCAAATGAGATATACAACTTCATTTAGCACCCAAAAAAAAACCCAGAAGTTCTTCTTTAGAGAGAGAGAGAGAGCAACTGTGACTTACTTGGCTAGTGGGTTTGGTCTCTTCTTGATGATTCTCTCTCCACAAAACACCAGTTCTTAGGGTGAGAAAATCCATTGCACCACCCTGCACAAAAGCCCCAACGTTGAGGAAATACTAACTAATCTGTATGAAAACCTATCATAGTCTTCACACTAAATAACCTTCATCTTCTGTCTTTCCTGAGCACTAGATATTACAGTCCATTACAGTCTTAACATACATAGCATTAGAGGATGAGAAAGAGAAACGTTATTACCTCATCGAAAGGACCGAGCTTCGCCGAATCTGGAACGCTAGCTCTATCGTTGTTGGCATCGCTCCGGAGCCGGTCGCCAGAGAAGAAGTCGAGCTCTTTGACAGCAGGCCTTCCGTCCAGGGAACCGGGTTGTTTGTCTTGTTGCGCAGGTTGATGATCCATGAGGTTGCTTTGAGAGTATGGTATCATTTCATTTCCCCAAATGCCTTCATCAAGAAGACCAAAGCTCATTATATAAAAACAAGAAGAAGTCTGTTTTTCTTTGACGTGGGACGGAGTGTGTATATGTGGACTCACCCCCAAAGTCCTGATGTTGAATAAACCCCCACGAATGCAAATACAATACGGTAAGTTATCCTCGGATCCACAACGCTGACATATTAGAAAAGATTGAAATCGAAAAGAAAAAGGGGAGAGCACGAGCGAGAAAAGCGGCTCCAACAGGGGTGGTGTAACGAGTCAATCAGCATCTCGACACAGAGTTTGACTTTTCTCGGATACTATACCGACGGCACGAGATAATTTCGGTGATATATGATAAAATTCATATATTATATCGCAATTTGAATGCGATTAAGTAGCTTCTTATAAAAATAATTTTTTGGTTTGGGGGGGAAGACTAAAGAGAGATTAAGTGTCAGTTTTTCCAATTTCAGAAAAATGAGAAGACTTGAGCGTTGGTTGGCCGTATTTGTCGCGGATGAGCAAATGACAGCATGGTGATGCAACGTACAGCTACCCCTTTTTGTTGGGGGGGGAGGAGGGACGCCTGTCGTTTTTGGGAAGAATTGACATGGCAGTTGCCTCGAGGATCGATTTTCAATTGGATGACACACTTGCACGTGTGCTTCTCTCTCTTAATTTCAACTCTCCTTCTCTCTCTTGTGACGAAAACGTGTTTTACTTCGTGTCCGGTACGCCGTCGACGACGCGATAAATCCGGTTGAACATACTTCGATGGCATAATTACGCGTCGAAAAGATAAAATCGCACCACTATACCTGAACCGTATTGTGACAGTTCGATTCCGATTGACGACACGGGACGTAACCGCATATGCACGAAATAAATTATTGTAACTCGTGTCTTGTTATATGGCCATGGCTGGAGATCTTATGGGCTGATCAATAAACAAAACCCCAAGCAATGTCTTTACTCTATATGCCGTATTTCAGTGGAACAAGTTAAGTGGACTAGGGTGGTCTACTCCTAGTCTTTCATATGAAAATTTTTTATTGCTCAACACGTTCAGACAATTTGTCTAATGCATGACCATGCGAGGCAAACAAAAATTCAGCAAAAGAATAAAAGATGTGATTCCTAGAAAGCTCCATTCAGCTTGAAAGGCATGTTTAAACCACTTCTTTTGTGGATGGTGGAAGCTAGATTGAAAAATGCAATATAATAGTGACTTGGGTGATCACATTATTTTCTTGGTAAGTATGCATAGGTGCACAAGTTACCTATATATAATATATAGGAAGAGAAACGCGCATATCCACCGGGGCGCATCTCGTATCTATATCCGATTCGGGTATTGACTAGCTTCTTAAACCTGTTCCGTTATCGTTTCGTGTACAATTGTCATGTTAATTTTAGGAAGGCTTTTTCCTGCCTAAAGAGTACTAGGACATCTCGAGCGGAGGGGAGAGTTACTCAATCAGTCCTAAATATATTATACGAATGCCAATACAGTCTTAAACTTTTCAATTTTGCCAATTTAGTCATAAACCTTTGAACAAAATTTCAATGTAGTCATTCCGGCTAATTTTCGCTGGAAATGGCTGATGTGGCAGTCCAATCATCGCCGACTGTCCTACGTACCACACCATCACGTCAGTGATATGGCAAAAATTGGCTGAGAGGGTTACATTGAAATTTCGCATAAATATTTATGACTAAATTGACAAAATTAGAAAGTTTAAAACTAGATTGACATTCTTTTAATAGGTTTATGACTAATTGGACAGTTTCCCCTAGTGAAGTTATGATCTTAGGCATTATTTGTTCTAGAAGCATGTGTGATTTTTTTAGTGAACGCAGCACAATTAATTACTCCTTTTTTTTTTGGAAGGACGAAGAAAAGAAATAGATTTTCTCCCCTATTTATTACAGCGACAAAGAAAAAAATTATCACTATATCAATTCCTTTAGTCTATTTCTTCTTCCCAGTGAAAGATAACCAAATTATCACTATATTGATCTTTGATTTTAGCACTTCTATTAGTCCTTATCTATTAGATGATTTGGCTTTGCTAGCAAAACGGTCTTTAGGCTATTGTGAGAATAATAATATATTATGAGCCACAAATTATTAAAGGAGTGGACTCTACAAGATCTCACAATGGATTAAGAACAGTTACCTAATCATTTCTCTAGATGATTTATGGCTTCTTTTTTGACTCCTATTGAGCATGAGCTTTTGGAAGGTTAGCTAGGCGAATGACTTTCTTCACCATTGGTCACAGCTGTTCAGCAATCATCAATGTCATCATGAGAGAGAGAGAGAAAAAAAAAAATTCTCGCGCAAGCACACCCTTAATCAAGGCAAGAGATTGATACTGCATGAAGTAACTTGCCATATGTTTGTGTTGATTACATAGATCAGGTGTAGTGTACTACAGACGAATTCACATGGATGATGATGCTGAACAAAAAAGGAAGTTTTCTATAATTTTCTTCATAAGCCATCTTTAGGGATTGCATATCAAGAGTATAATATGCAACTGTACACTTATGCCTTAATCAAATTGTTAAATGCATACCCATCAAAAGAAATTGTTATATACATGAAGAAGATTTGAGCTATCTTAAGCATTTAATGCACTGCGATATCTTGTTCTATTGTAATCTGAAAAAAAAAAAAAATGCAAGCTCAGTGATCATTACTTCAATGTTCTTCTCTCATATTTCAAAAAATAAAATCAAATAGAATAAAGCGACACAATCAGCATTGTATACGATCCTGAAGTGGTCATCCGAGATCAATATAGGTCAGCACTCAGCAGAAGCTGAACAGGTAAGAAAGAACTAGGGTTCTTGAAGAATACTGGCATTGAGTTTGTTCTATGCCTCCGTATAGCGTGAGAATACAAGGGATTATCCTCTAAACTCAATTTGATAATTTCTCATCTCAAGTTTAATCAACTTCGATTGTTGCAGACACTAGGGTAACATCAGGAAAGACCAACCCTTTTTGTCGACGACTAACTTTCAAATGACGGTAAGAAGAGATGAAGATTGTCTTCCTTAATCACAGGGTTTGTGCAAGACGACATGAACATCGTCTAAACATTATGTTTTTCCAGGTCGGGATCTTCGTTTCAGACTTAATCAAAGGTTTCCCAATAAGGGTTTTTATTACTACTTGATCAGACGCATAATCCAAATGGACCCAGTGAAAAGGATGCCATTGCCAAAGCCAACTTAAAAAGTTAATCATATGGAGTCTTATTTTAGTCCAAACACATCATTTTAATGTTTTTGCAAGACTTAACAAGACCTAAATTGAGTCTAAGCGAGAAAAGACGAACGAAAAGAAAGAAAAAAACATAGAATAATTAAGGCTCGCGCTTTTTCCACCCATTTTTTGACTTTTGATACCCTTATTATCTTAAATTGACCATAATATCACTTGCAGTTCCCAGATTTAAGATTATTTCTTCCATTTTTGCTTCTCTTTCTTTGGAAACTCTGATGCATTTAGAATTGACAAATAAAATGTATATGCAAATGGTTTGAATTTATTGTCTTATATTGCAATTACAATTGTCATAATTTTCTTATCAACGGCTAATTATTCCATGCAATCAAGCCAAAAATAATATTTCATATAATGTTTTCAGGAGCATTGTCTTTTGAATCTGCATGATAATAATGGATGTTTAGAATTTTAAATGTAATTAGTTTTGTCATAATTTATATTTTTTTGAAAATATCTTTTAAAAAATTATGCAGTGATGGTATGAAAAATAAATAAAAGTTGGAATATTAGATTCACCAAATAAAATGAAAGTCAAGCAGTTAAAATACATGGATTATAACGTAATCATACATATTAAAGTTATAATTAAACCGAATGCATTTATTAAAAATAGTTGATTATTCTTTTCACTTTTACTTGTATTTCGTTTAGTTTTAGAATAATGGTTTCTAGTTAAAAAAAAGGAGCTATACAACTCATTAACACAATAACTTGTTAGTTATCTGCCATATAAACTATTTTGTGGGAAAGAGAGACCAATTTCGTCCCAGATGGGAGGAAAAAAAAAAAGAAAACCAAAAAAGAAGAAGAAATGTAAGAAATAATCTTAAATCAAGAGTAACCTCTACATTCGACCTTAATCTTTGTTGTTTGAGTTGAACACAGTAGGTTCGCCTTTTAGTAAATTTGAAGCCAAGGAAAAAGGAAGTAAAAAAGCTAAGAAATAAATCTTAAATCAATAGCGGGACCCACAACGGATAATTTGGTCAATTCAAGGCGGTAGGAGGGTGTCGGAAGCTAAAAAATGGATGAAAAAAGCGCGCGCCATAATTAACGAGTCCCAAAACCATTTTTCCTTCTTCTTTTTTTCCCTCTTTTGCTTCCTTCAAAAGAGCTTCTACTTCTCCCTAGTCCATACCAAACCCAGATTCAAGCTTGAGGTCACCCCTCAACCCGACAACATGTGTTTTTGGCAATCGATTCTCAGGGAGAGACTTTTTTGACGTGTTAAAGTGGGGCAGCAATGGCTCCCTGCACATGCAATTGCAAATTAGTAGCTGGTGTTCGTTTACAGGATCGATGCACAGAGAGTTGGAAACTTAGGAAGCTGATCAACGCCCACCGTCCTACGCCAACCAAACTTCTCACATACGAAGTTTGGTGTGTTCACAAGCCGGCCAGAACGGCAACGTGAAGCGTGGTTTTCTTTTCCGTCGTCGATAGCTACATTGGCTACGGTTAAAATTGCTGTCCTAGAACCTCAACATCATACAACTTGATGTTCCAATTTTCGAAATCGTCTCTGTAAAAGCTGTCTTGAAATTTAGGATGGGTATAGTATAGAGTTGGGAAAATTGTCTAAAAAGTTCTAAACCTATTGCACTTTTGCCAGTTCAGCTTTAAAACTTTAAATTTTGTCAATTGAGTCCTAAACCTTTTCAAGTTTTGCCAATCAAAACCATCCGGTCAATTTTGGCTAGAAATCACTGACGTGGATGATGGCCGTCCTACGTGGAAAGACCAACGCTTGACATGGACAATTTTTAATATTTTATCGAATATTTTATTGATTTTTTATTTTTATTTTTATTTTTTTTTTGGGTTCAAAAGGTTGATAGGGCCGCTAGCTACTAGCCAAGGGTTGGTGACGTCTGCCGGCCACTAGGCGAGGTTTGGCGACCCCCGCCAGACCCTGAGCGAGGGCCACGCAACCCTGGTCGGTAGGGGGAGGGTCGCAGCCCTCACCGAATCTAGCAAGGGCGCATAAGCCCTTATTATGGCCAGCAAGGCCTTCATGAGCCTTCGTCGGCCACAGTGAGGGGAAGCGAGCACCGCAACACCCTCGTTGTGGCCTACAAGGGGTCATGACCCCTCGTCAGCCTCAGCAAGGTGACCCCTCGCCTCGCCAGATCTGGTAAGGGCTCACAAACCGTCGGCTAGTGAGGGCTTTGTGGCGCTCACCCGCAAGCCCTTTGAACCAAAAGAGAAAAAAAAATTCAAAAAATTATTAAAATTTATGTATGTCAACGCCGGCCGTGTCACGTAAAATGGCCAGCACTAATTGAATTGCCACGTCGGCGATTTCTAGCCAAAGCAAAACATGAAAAGATTTAGGACTCAATTAATAAATTAAAAGATTTATGACTCAATTAGCAATAGTTCAATAAATTTATGATTTTTTGGACAATACCTTGTATTAGTGTGTGAAGCAAAGAGGCCAACTAAAACCCAGCATCACCAGACAATAATAAATGCGTTTTCTTTAGTCTCTGATTAGGTTCATGAATAATGGTCACATGAAAAGGTGGGGCAAGAAACACATGAAGTCAAAACTGGAGAGAAAAAGAAGCACAAATCATTGATGTAACTTGCCCGAAAAAGTGGTAAAAGAAAGCGGGCGCTTATGAGCTTGCGCCCGTCTGGAACAAGATTAGTCAAGGTCTGACAATGCTGCTCATCTTACACGAAACTTCCATTCGTGAATTTCCAATGACAACGAAGCAGTTTGAGATTTCTTCGAAGATATCACGTGCGGCGATATTCTCGCGTTGGTCGAAATTATCAAAAGAATTCTAAATGTCCTAAATTTTTCAATTTGGCCAATTTAGTCATAAACCTCTCAACAATTTATTAATGTAGTTCATCCAAACAATTTTGACGTAGGCGCCAATTGTTCTACGTGGCACGAGCAACACTAGTGTGGAACGTGGAAAATTTTTGAATTTTTTTATTAATTTAATTTTTCTTTTCTTCCTTTCTTTTATTTTTAAGGGCCAAAAGGAGGCTACCGGTCACCGACCAAGGCCCAACAATCCCCGACGGCCACTGGTCGAGGGCTCGCGGCCCTCGCCCGCGCGGTCCTGGCTCATAGCCGGGCGAGGGCCACAACCCTCCACTAGTGGTCGATGAGGGCTCGTTGCCCTCAGACGTGGCCCTTGACCAATGGGCCTCGCTCGGCTCTAAGTAAGGGTGGTGAGCCCTCAACCAGTGGCGGGCGAGGGCTCGCTACCCTGACATGCCACTGGCAAGGGCCACGGGTCCTCGCCAGCCGCGATGATGGTTGTGGCCCTCACCTAGTGGCCGGCGGCAGTTGCTAGGTTTCAGCTGGTGGCCAACGGTCCACCGTCTATGGCCAGTGGTCCCCCACTGACCTTTAACAATAAAAAAAAAAAAAATTCAAAAAATTCAAAAAAAAATCATGTCAACGTCTTTGATCAATTTTCTGCCAAAATTGATCAGATGGACTATATTGACAAATTGTCAAAAGTTCAAGTATTAAATTGGCTAAATTAAAAAGTTAAGGACTGAATTGGCACAAGTACAATATATTTAGGAATTTTTTGATAATTTTCTCAAATGCTGTAAAAGCAAGAGCTGGTTAATTGCCGTTATCGTCATGTGACACTATGAGAGTCTTCAGAAGTTTTCGATAAGAACGGGTTTTTCTTACGTGCCATAATATACGAGGGTAAAAAACAAGTAGTAAGATTGTGGAGAGAGGAACCCTATTTTGTCCCATCTTGGTGAATCCATTCACCAACATAAAACGATGATCAAGACATGGATTTGGTGATTGAGTGATGGATTACCATAAGACGGTAACAAACAAACAACGTCAAAATTGACAAGTTGGTTTCATACGTTCTCTTACAATGGTTCATTTTCCATCCCTCCTCCTTTCTACAATGGTTTCACTCACAGTAGAATGAAAATTCCAGGTTCTCGTTCAAGAATCAGTTATCTACAATCAGGCTAATTAAGATGTAAACGGTTTACAAGAATTGCTAATCAAAAGGTAAGTAAATCTATGTAGCAGAAATACGTCAGCTTATGAAATTTCGACCCGCAACCCACTTGGGCCGGAACGGGAGTAAGCGTGATCGAGTCGCCAACCAAAGACTGAAATTCAGTTTCCGGCTTTGTTTCTTTGAGAAAAGAAGATGATATTGGAAAGCACACGGGAAGTTACAACAGTGAAATGGAAGGTCTTCCTTTAATTGATGACAAGAGAAGGAACCAGGAATAGATGCGTTCATCATCACATCTAGATAAATTGTATCAGCACTACTACGAGGAACTCTTGAAGATAATCTTCATCTATCTTCGCAGTTGCATCATCACGGGGAAAATATCACTAACACCTCTGATAATTGTATCTCATGTTTCGAGAGATGTCGACCAACAAAATCAGCGAGTTAGCATAACAATCGCAACGTCATTCGACAATAAAAATGAGCATGCAACCGGTCTATCCCACCACATCATGAGAAATACCCATTTGCAAACCAGGAATATATTTCTTTCTCTACCCACTTCTTGCATTCAACGGTGCGCAGAAAAAAGACGCAACTAATAGATTGAATTGATCAGTTTGAAGCACATAACAGATTGAAGTGTTGCGACGTCATGTTGTAGCATGATATGAACAGTTCTCAAATAATTGCAGGTGAATAAAGCCAATCAGTTACTAAACAGTTAACGATTGGAACTTATGAATGAAAAGGAGAAATCGGAAGAATCAATACATTTGGAACTTCTCCTTTGTCTTCTCGAAGACCTGCTCCGCAATTTTGGCCCCTTTACCATCGGCTCTCTTGATCTCCAAATGAGCTTTCTGGTAGAAGCTAGTACCCCTCAGAGCATCGGCGATAAAATCGTCGAAGCCGATAGCAATAGCCGCCTCAGCCTTAGCTCCATAGACCAACCTCTGTGTTGACAAGCAAGTGGCTAATGTCATGTCCCAGACGATCAGTATTAGAGAGCAAGAGATAATAGGAACGCTCTGTATGTGAGAGAGAGAGAGAGAGAGACCTTGGCTCTTGAAAGGTGGATGGCACCAAAGCACATGGGACAAGGCTCACAAGAGGCATATACTTCGCAGTCCGAAAGCTCAATCCTACCTAGCTTTTTGCATGCCTGGTAGAGATGGGAACAGAAATTCTTGAGAATCTAGTGAAATGATCATTGAGCAGGATAGCTTATGCAAGTTATAAAATAAAGAGCAAAGTCAAATGCTCAGTGAAGGAACTTTGTGGTTGAGCTTTACACAGAGCATCTCGGTACAAGTTAAAACAGACTATCTGCACCACAACACCCTATATTTCTGTGCAACAACATAGGTTAAAAGGCAACAATATGATGGTTTATTGTTTTAAGAAATTACACATGCTATGCAGGAAGAAGAATACACGTACTAATTGAGGAAGAATACAATATGCCAGCTTCTTTCTCTGTTCAGCTAACTGTAGATGTCTAATAACATTGACTTGAAGCAGAGGATTAAAAATAACAGAACCATTAACATGGAAACCCAGAGAAACGTGATCTTAATTTTAGTAGCTTGAGATACCGATTCCTACGATAATGCCAAATGAAAACTTTTAACAAAAGAAAAACAAATGGTCGTGCCCTTACATAAGCAAGAGATAGTAGTAATGAGATGAAGGGTCAAAAAGAGATGCCATCCATGACAAAGTGGCTCTAAAGAAGAGGCAATACTGTGTTTCCATCCGCTAGTTGGAACAGAAACGGAGCAAAAATCAACTAGCACATTAAAAAAGAAAATACATGAAAAAACTAATATGCATTTATATTGTGTGTGCATGTGTGTTTATCCTCAGAAGGTTAGTATTTTCTCCAGAATAGCAATTTTCGGAGTCAGACTCAATAAACAATAAAGTAAACTCAGAAATGCACTTTATCCTAGATGGCAGCTCCATGTTTTATTCTGTACAATACTTTATAATGAGATCCTTTCTACCTTGCCTCTGGAGGATAATGACTAGTTAACAGTCTAAGCTTGGAATCACCTATGCGGGTTTTACCCGATTCCTCGACTACATATGCATCACAAAGTAATATTCTTCTTTATCCACATTTCTTTTCTCTCTCTATACGATTGTTCTTTGCTCCTTCCCAATTTATTTTCTTGGGGGAACAAAACCAATAATCTGAACAATTATATGAAGAAGGTGGCCTGCAATTGAACCTAAATTCACAAGAATTAAATTACTCTGCTAAGTAATTCACCTCTCTTATGGCAGTCACTTCTGCATGAGCAGTTGGATCTGTGTTCTTCAGAACCATGTTGTGACAACTTACAACAACTTCATCATTACGAACAACAACAGCACCAAAAGGGCCTCCATCCCCACAATCTACCCCCTTGTACGCTTCCTCAACTGCTTTCGTTAAGAACTTGTGATCTCTATCCTGTACAGCTGGTTCAGCATACAACCAGATGTCAAGACAGCATATTTTACCAGGGAGTTGAACAAATAGAAAACAAACATATGCTGCAAAGTTGTCCCAAACATAACCAACATAGTTGGAGAGTAAAACATCGATATTCTCGATCTCAATCAATCAGAAAAATGACTATTAGTTCCACGGACAATTTAAATAGGGTCACAGCTGCAACAGAAAAGCAGATCATATGATTTCTGAATGCATCTCGACGCATCATTTCTTGATAAGAGACCTCAATTTCAACAGCTGCAGAAGCTACGGAATTTTACCTTGTTGATGACCAGCAAATGCGGAAGCTACGGAAATAGTCCCATCCTTAGTCTCGACAACTGAAAAGAAGGAAGTAGCAGTAAATTAATAAGACATGATAGACACGACGCGAGCATCATCCATAGGTAGATTCTCTTATCTGAAATTAAATTTGCTTGACTTATCAAAGAGCAACTTCAGTCCAAATGGAAAAACCACAAAATTCAGCAAACTAAAACTCCTTCCCAGTTCATCCTTCTCCTTCTCTATGACACATGCAATACCCGAAAAAATCGCACTTTGCCCCACAGTCATAGCTTGCAAAGGCACCAATCAAGGAAAGAAAAAGCATGGAACACGAAACCATATAGACAAGCAATCTACCGAAACCAAAGCGGTGTCTTCTTCAAAGAACTGTTGCTGTATTATCACCTACCTCTCCCACACGAAAGGTAATAAAGCGATTTGAGAAAAAAATAAGACGAATTCCAGGACTCCATCATCAATTAGACAGTAATCTACTGTTACTTCGTTTAACCGACAAAAAACACGAGGATCCGCTGACACAGGAGCATCCCCAAAACAGAACAGCACGAAGTGATATCAGCCAAAAAAAGGGGAAAAGAAAAGCAAGGAACTTTCACATCCAATCGCTTAGATTAGATCACCCAATCAAAGACAACAGATTGAAACCGAAACAGCAAGCGAAAAATGGACAGAAGGCCAAAAGGGTGTTCACCATTAGCCTCCTCCACCTCCATGGCGATGCAGAAGATCCCAGAAAGATCGGAGAATATGAATCAGGAGAGGACAGGGACGAGACCCGATGGGACAAAACTGGTATATACCCTCGATTGTGGATGTGTTTGGGTATCAGGAACCTGGGTTTTTAACAGATAAAAAAGGGAATGTGGATCTCACACACACACACACACACACACACAGAGAAACAGAGAGAGAGATAGGGAGACAATGGAAAAGGAGAGAGCTTCTTCTGTTCTCTGGGTTATGGCCAGGGAGAGAGAGAGAGGGAGAGGCCCCACGAGGCGTAGTTAAGACGAAAGAGCTAAACGTGAACGGTGGGCATCGAGAGCAAGCAATGGACAAAAGAGGAGGATGAAGGCAAACGAAATCGGTTTTCGCTTTTTGCTTGGTGGCACTTGGCAGGTTGAACTCCACTTGTGGTGGCTTTCGTTTTGAACTCCCACATGCCAATGGCCTCTCTCTCTTTCTCTCTCTCTCTCTCTCTCTCTCTCTCTCTCTCACTAATTGAAGATTCTCTCTCTCTCTCTCTCTCTCTCTTTATCTCTCTCACTAATTGAAGATTCTCTCCTTCATTTTGCTCTCTTAATATATGTAGATTTTCTTCTTTTTTTTAAAGGTTGGTAGGAGAGGATATGATCATATCTCATGCTTGCAAACTTTTGTCAATAATGCATGTTTCCTAGAGAATAGTAAATACCATATCAAACTTGCTACAATATAGTAATGAAGTGATGCAATTGCCTTTCAAAAGGAATTGGATATGTTTCCTCATGAAAACTTGTGGCAAGGGAAAAATAAGAAAATGAAGTAATTCAATTGACTAGTACGTACACAAACGACTTGGGCTCCGTTTGTTTCGCGGAAAATGTGACGTTTTATGGAAAATGTTTTTTGGGAAGTCATTTTCCTGGAAAATGACAATATTTTCTAGGATTTGGTTGAGACATAAAAATGAATTAGAAAATATTTTCCATTATTTGATAAGGAAAATCTCATTTGATCAGAAATTGCTGACGTGAACATTGGCCGTCTTATGTGGCACGGCCGCGTTGACGTGAACAATTTTTATAATTCTTTTAATATACTCGAAATTTTTAATATTTTTCTTTTCTTTCTTTTTCTTTTCCTTCTTCCTTCGCCGGTTGCCGGGCCTCGGCGACAGCCGGTGACAGGCCACAGGCAAGGGCCAACCAAGCTAGTATCTAGACCAAGATTGGAGTTTGCCGACCTCGGGCGAGCTCAACCTCGCCATATCCAACAAGCTCACCAGATTTGACAAGCTCAAGCCTTACCTGAGGCCGACATTGGCCCACCCACACCTGTGGCCGATCGGCGAGGCCCGGTGATTGGCGGAGGAAGAAGGAAAAAGAAAAAAAAGAAAAGAAAACATAAAATAAAATAAAAAATATTAAAAGAACTTCAAATTTTTTTAAAAAAATTTTAGCCTCGAAGGACCCGGGCACAAGCATCGAGGACCTAGGCTGGCCTCAATATCACAAGGCCTGGCATCCCGGGCACAGGCAACGATGTCCTGGGCTAGGCCTCAATGGACTCGGGCATAGCGGCCGAGGTCTTGGGCGCGGCCTAGATTGACCCGAGCTAAAGAACCGGAGTCGTAGGTCCAGTCTTGATGGACCCGGCGCCGCTACCAAGGGCTTGAGAACAAGCATAGGGGTTACCATGCCCAAGCGCAGAGTTTTTTGCCCAAGTGTCAAAACTTAATCATATTTTGGAAAATGATTTCCGATTTTTTGAAGAGGAAATCATTTTTCTGAATTTAAGTTTTGGTAGGAAAACCTTTTTCGTTGGCTAAGAAAACATTTTACGTTGATTCATTTTTCTAAACGATCCAAATGCCGGAAAATAAGACAAAAAAAATTTTCGAAAATTGTTTTTGAGGAAATAAAGGAAACTTTAAATCTTTCAATACGGACCAACCCACAAACGAAAATGACCACTTGACTTAGGACAGCCTAGGAGGAGAAAAATTGCGATAATTGGAGATGCGGGAGCACACAACACGTTAATACCATGAATAAGGGAGGGGCATGACCAACAACTGCACCAACTATAATTAAATTACAATTTATTGACAATAATTTGTTCCGAGTGTCGATCGATAGAAAAAGCTAATGCGTGCGCAGCTCATTCTTCATATGATTAACTGGTGTGCTGACACAATAGTGATGTGCTAACTCGAAAAGGAATCTTGCTATAAATTAGAATGGGGGTCTTGGTCTCCCGAAAGAACGGCTTTGCATTGGTCCATCGTGGGACGTGACTCCTCGTCGTTATCGTTTCGTCCAATTTGGACTCATTCAACGTTAAACGTTTTGCACAAGGGATATTCATTGTATAATCCCACGGGAAAAAGGGGCATTGCATGGAGTAATTCTGTCGGGGGGAAAGGTCATGGAATGACTCACGAGGGTGGCTAAAGTTTGAGCTAGTCGACATGATGAATTGCGCACACGATTTAAGCGTGCAAAGATGAATCTCGCATTGGATGCCTAGAGCTAAGAAAGTGATTCGTGTCGATTCTTTTAAGATGTCGAGAATCGCTTGTGTGAAAGGAAAATCTCGGTTCTGTTTCGTGGGGCAATTTCCGGATGAATGACACGGTACAAATATCTTCTTTACGTAAACCTTATATATGTATCTTTGGTGGTCACTCAATGAAGACCGGGTTAGATAGTGATATGTTAGCATGCCCTCTGCCAAAAGAATGAGAACTTATATCATGCCGTCCTCATTAAACCACTATTGTATTTATGTAAATCTATTATGATACCCATTGCAAGAATATGAATTGTTGTTGCCACCTAGACGCCACCTAAGCAAATTAGAAAAAATTATCCAAAAAGTCATAAAATTATTTCATTTTTGTAAATGCAATTCTAAAACTTTCAAATTTACCAATTGAGTCTTACACATTTTCAAATTTTGCCAATTGAGTTTATCCGTCTAATTTTAGCCAGAAATCGTTGTCGTGGATGCCGAACGTCCTAAGTGGCATGGTCAGCGCTGGCGTAGACAATTTTTAATAATATTTTAATATTTTTTGCATTTTTAAATATTTTTTCTTCTATTTACTTTTTTTCTTTCTTTTTCTTCCGCTTCTTTCAAGTCCGGTGAGGGTTGGCCGACCCTCGCTAAACACATGAGAGGGCCGGCGACCCTCCCCAGCCGTGAGCAAGGGCTTCACGGCCCTTGCGAGGTATTGCTTCACGCCCCTCGCGAGGTATAGTTTATTCAATTTTAAGAAAATAGAGAAGCAGATTCATTTAATGGTAATTTTTAGTGCTTTTTTTTTCCCTTTTTAGCTCCACCGTTAACATGGAAAAGATGTTTGGGAAAAAGTCACCAAAAACCACAAAATATACCCACCTTCAACTTTTTCTCATTTTCATCCTCTTATTTCTAGAACCAATCGTGAATGAGTCACAAATGTCTAAAGGTATCTCCGAAGACTCATGTGGAGAATCCTCAAGCCAAACTTTGAGTCGAGCGGCCGCGATGGCCAGATTTGGCAGGCGATCAAGCATGGGCCAACCAACATTGCTTAAGGTTCAGGCAGCAGTGGGCAGCGATGGACTAGAGTTAGAGAGCTCTAGCCAAGCGATCATGAGTGTGAAGATGATAAATAGTAACTTCGAACTTTCTTCTTCTTTTTCATTTTTTTAGTTTTTAATTTTAATTTTTATCTTTTTCTGATGTGGCCACATCAATGCCACTTGTCTTTGGAAATCACTAATAATGCCACGTCGGATTTTTAACAGTTATTTCTAACAAAAATAAATGTATCACTCAAGTATAAGTTTGAGGTTAAAAAATGTACAGCAAGCATAGTTTATGATTTTCGATAGCCTTTCCCATGATGTTAATAGGCGATTCACTGGCTTGCCCATCTTACAATAGATCACACTTCATTTCCCATTTCACCACGTTTTATGCCACGAGAATTTTGACCATTATTGCTAGGACAATTTGTCACTACGCTCTAGAAATTTTAATCATGAAAATGTCGGTTAAAGATGAGGGCGATCCATTGTCTTTCTCGATTCACATCGTGATGGAAAGTGTTCCACTTCCTTCTATATCGAAGCTATTTCGAATAAACAAAACCCTGCAATTCAATAGTCAAGACTAGGATGCGGTGCGCCACCAATTCAAAGACGATGGCGCTAAGTTAAAGTATGTTCAATGTCTCGTGAACAAGTTTCATTACGTCAAGTTAGTGGTGGGGTTTCATTTGATGCTCTCCCCTCGTCTCTTACGAGGATTCGACTGTGCGTATGTTGCATAGAATGATGGATTTTTCCGTTTATCTTGCAGGACATGACTCTTTTTTATGTTAAAAAGACAAATGGCAAAGCCATTATGCTCGCCATGGTGAATCATGTTTGATCGTTTGCCTATAATCTAATGAGATATTGTGTGGTTATTTGCTCAACTTTGGTTCGTTTGCAATGCCCCTTTCTAAGGAGTCTCGCGGCACGCGCATCTAATATGGTCCAACTCACGATGAACATAAATATCAAGGGAAAATTATCCTTTCGGTCGTAAATTTATTGTATGGATTCTAATGTAATTCTAAGCCTTTTAATTATTTCAATGTAGTTCTCGTAGAATTTCAAATTAGTCATTTTGGCCAATATTTGGTTTAAATTGCTGATGTGGCTAACTGTTCATCATCTTGAACTTCGCCATTATTTGGCCAAAACCTTGCTCGCAAGTGATGACAAGCTTTGCTCAGTGGTCACTGACTGACATATTAATAATTGTCACTGTTGGAAGAGCGCAGCATAAACTTGATACCAGTAAGTCAACATATACAGTTGGACCCACCTTCACTTAAAAGGTTAAGCCAATGAATTATGAGCTAACTTGGATGTTTTAACTGTTCCATATCATACCAATTGTTCGATGTGGGATTTTTCCAACACAACTTATACGCGTATCTCAACGGTCTCCCATTTACATGTGAGCTCAGTGTTAGGTATGTCACCCTTAATTTAGATATCTTATGCACCGACATATCTCAACTTGAATCTCCATCAATGCTTATGACATCCCCAATTTGGACCAAGACGACCAAGAGAAATAGCCATGGAATTGGCGAGCGGTCCGATCCAAGGGTCGGTAATAGAATGGATGGTATGGTCGGAACGAGTGTATTGAGGATTGGTCACGGCTCGATCGAAAGATCGTCTATGGATTGGCCAAGGGATCGACAATGAAATGACTCCCCAGCTGCGCAAGTCGCTTAGAGTGATTCGACTATGGATCGACCTTTCAACCATAAGGGTCGCTAGTGGGACGGTCCGGGACGACCATGGATCAGTGCCGTGCGGGCATGTGTCAGTCGCGGGTGATTTCGCTCGGCCATGCATCGGTCGCGAGCAACCATGGATCGATCCCGTAGTACTCGATTCCACGCGACTACATGATAATCGAGAGTCGACCATGAATCGTTGGTACTTGAACGTGAACCGGTCGCGAATCGACCATGGATTATTGCATAGAGTTGGGTAGGCCAAGGACGAGCCATGTGCCAGGCCAAGAGCCTTATGGCTTGGTCGTGGACCAGGCTTTGTGCCGGCCGAGCAAGCCAGGCCTTGTGCCCGGTCATGGACCGGCCCTTGCGCCATCAGTCAGGCCACGGACCGGTCGTGTACCAGTCATTATGCTTGACACTTATGCTAGGCCTTGTGCCCATTAGTTCCGGCCTAGACCTAGTTACGTGCCAATCATACTTGGCTACGGGCCATGTATTGTGCCGTTCGTGAGCCAATGCGTGTGCTCGCCCAAGTACCGGCTCCTCGCTCGTGTGGCCCAACCATGCGCCCGGCACGCCGTCTGTGCGGCCCAGTACCATGCCCGTGCATTCGGTCCTGTACCCGTGCGGCTAGGCCGTGTACCAGGCCATGTGCCCGGCTCTGCGCCCGGCCAGATAGGCTATGACTTGGCCTTGTGCCTGGGCGTGCGGCCAGTCAGTCAGGCTAACTTGGCCTTGTGCCATTCAGCCCGGTTATTGTCCCGACTATGCTCGGTCATTCTCGGGCATACTCTAGCCTCGAACCTCGGTCCAAATAAGATGGTCGATCGTGAATGAACACGTAAACTCCTGGTTACGTTGGTTGTCTCTTAAATATGTAATAATGAATTTTGGGAGTTTAATTATTGGCTTAGGTGTCTTGTGCCAATAAGTTAGTGATCTTGGAGAATAGCAACAAGTTACATGCCCAGAGACTTGGTTAGCAAGAAGATAAGTTAATTTAGTCAAGTCAATGGCTTTATTAGAAACTTACCTTGCAAGTTGGGTAACTTCCCTAGCAAGTTGGGTTGCTTCTCTTGCAAGTTGGCTAACTTATCTTGCAAGTTGACTAACTTCCCTAGCAAGTTGGCAAGATGGCCTATAAATAGAGGCACAAACCATTCATTCTCAATTTTCACTACTCATTTCCCTCTTCCTCTCTCCCTCACGCCACTCACTCTCTAGGCGCCCTCTCTCCTCTTGGATGCGCCCATGCACGTGCCGTGCCGTGTTACTCGGTTCACCACTAAGCCATCACCAACCACAATCTTGGAGGGTTGTAAGTAGACTTACTAAACATTGGCTAAGGTGTGGTGTTACGTTATTGGGCGAGTCATGTTTTTTTTGTGCTTGCGTAAATCTCGTGGTTTGTGATTGCTTGATATAAGCTTGCCACGCATGTTTATGCATTTGTAAGGTTTGCTCATGTATTTAGTATGATGCGTGAAATCACGTTCGGTCCATGAATGAGTCTCGCTTGGTTCGGATCGGCATCGAGGCATGTCAGAACAAGCCTTGCTTGGAGGTCCGATATTGGGGCGTACCGATCCAAGCCTTGCTTGGTGTAGGTCGGTGCCATGACCAGTCGGTTCAGATCATGAACTTGGTTCCGTGCCTAGCATGACTTAAGATTTTTGAGGATTTATGGCATGACGCTCACTTCATGTGAAGTGATGCTTGTTGGCATGGTCACACGGAAGAAAAGAATAGCCGTCGCCCTTGATTGGGGACGTTGCCCGATTAAGTTCAGATGAATAGCCGTCGCCCTTGATTAGGCGACGTTGCTCGATTGAGTTCGGATGAAAAGCTGTCGCTCTTGATTAGGGGACGTTGCCTGATTAAGTTTGGATGAAAAGCCGTCATCCTTGGATTAGGGGACGTTGCCCGGAGAATTTCCAGAAGAACCGTACCAACGGTTAAGATAATGAATCTCTCGTGTGTATGCTTTTGGTTGAGATGTTGTTGCTTGAATAGAAAGGCAAGTTGAGATCATCTTATGCACAAAAACGAGTGTGTTTGAAGCATCTTTACTATTGATCTGCTATCAATTGATGTGGCTATGACATGTGCTTTGTTCAATGGCGATATATCTTCCTATCCGGAGTTTAGTGAGTTTTACTTACTGAGCCCCCGACTCACTCCATTGTTTTTTAGATTTGTAGACATGGAAGTCTCACATAAGTTTTGGGAGCTGTAGTCATGCTAGAGAAGATAGAAATTTCCTCCAGCCTACACGGATACATGTAGTATGTTGAAAAGGGAAAAAGGCCCGTAGAAATGGGCTTGTCAAATACATTCATGTAATATATATGCCATCCTGTAAATATAAGATTTGCTTATGGTACTTGTTTTAACCCCATTGTTTATTTGATTGTCCCGATTTTGTGCTTCCACTTGTTTGTAACGATAAGATAAAATTGAACGGGACGTCATGCTCTTAATGAGAAGATAAAAGAAACGGGACGACGACGCGCCTAGAACGTCACATTAATAACCCCGAGGTGAGGACGTTACAATGCCCATCGGGCCCACGCTACTACACCGTAAAGCCCACCGACAGAAATTGCATTGGTCACCTAATTTTTTCCTTGAGATATTTACCAAACACCGAAACAGATTAGGGGGTCCACCAATCAACTATATGCTCTAATACCATTTGTTAAGAGAACGCAACAAAAACCCAATACCTTCACATGGGGAGATCACCAAAAGAGAGCCCAACTCCGAGCCCGTTAACATATTCAGTTAGACCCACTTTCATTCAAAAGCTTAAGATAATAAGTTATAGGTCAACTTGGATATATTAACTACTCCACAACATGAGGGGCTTTTCTAACACAACTTACATGTACGTCTCAACAGCACCAATCTTCTTGCTTGCAAGAAGAGATCTCCCTATTGCTCCAAGCAAGCATGTGCTATTAGCTAAAATCTTCACAAAGAAGGTGTCCTTGGTTTTGCTTATTGTAATGAGACAATAAAATGTAGACCTCGCCAGCGTGACTTAGGGCTTAAGCAATGCCGTGGTGGAGATTGAGCCCTCTAGATTTGGGGTCTTGAGCTCAATGCCACAGTAGAGGTTGAGTCCTCTAGATCGGGGGCTCGAGCTTTGATGTCACCATCGAGCTCGAGGTCGTCCAACTTTGCCTCGATCTCGAGACATTGAGCTCGATGGCAATTATAGATGACGGTAAAATATAGACCACAAAGAAGGTTAAGTCATCATAGATTGTCTATTTGCTTCTACATTCAGTAAATCGTTTTCTGACTTTTCAATGTTTAGACGACGGAAAACTAATTGATCTACGGAAACGTTTTCCATTGATGGAAAACAAACAAGTTTAGATTGGGGAAACCGACTTTTTCTTTTCTTCCTTTCGGGGAAAAGGATATCACTATCTCTAAACTACCAAACAATTATAAAAAATACTTTCTTTTATGAAATTTTTTAGTGAAATAAACGCACATTGATATTATAACGAAATCCGTATAATGAATTTTTTTCAAAATGTTGATAAGCTAAGCTTTCCCAACATGTCCTCTTTCTTTTTAAGTTCGACTTGAGCCCACTCGTTGATTTTTGTTTCATACTCTATCTCCCTCGATGTGGCAGGCATCCTCTTCGTTCGTCGTCCGGACCATTCCGTGGTCGCCGGCGGCGAGGCCGAGCTCTTTTCCGGCGCCAATGAGTGCCCGGAGAAACGCTAATTCAATGGCCTCCGTCTCCGCCGACGACATTGCAGCACCACCCCTTCCAGCCCCGGGCAAAACGCCGAAGTCCGACGCCATCTACAATGGCCAATACCACTCTCTGGTTTCTTCGCCCTCTACGCCCATTCGCGCCCCGAAAGATTTGAGCTTGCGGCCTTCTCCTGAGCTGGGTCTTCTCTCTCTCTTGTTCGTGCTCTTCATGGTAATCTTGATTAAATGAGCCTAAATTTTTGACCTTTTGGAACTTTAGTCGGGCTTCTGCGACTTGGGTGTCTCGGTTTTGATGTTTGATTTCGTGTTAGGCCATCGGTTCGGTTCTCTCTTTGGCGATAGTGTCTATCCCAGCTATGAGTGTAAGTGCACGGTACCTGTTTGATAAAATGCTTGTGAGAGGAGAGGGTGCTTTGTTTCGGAAACGAAAGTGAAGAATTAGGTGGCATTGAAACAGGCATTTCGGAGATTGGCAACCTCAATGAGTGACTTGTCCAAAGTGGTGTCCGAGGAGGTGCCCGGGACTTTGTCTTCCCTGAAGCTCTCAGGCCTTGAGATCAGTGAATTGACCCAGCAGCTCAGCAATCTCAGGTAAGCCATTCCAGTTTTCATTGTTTTCAAAGAAAGAATATTGAGGGATGACCTGGGCAATTGCGGTAACTTGTTTCTAATTTGTGGGCTTTGAAGGCAAAAGATCTCTGGCAGTAAAGGGAAGAGAGAGAGGGGCAGTAAGTCTAGCTCTTCCCGGAGGAGGAATTACCCTTTTGTTGACTGATAGGTTCAAGTTGGATATTCGAATCATGCTTGTGTTTGTAAAGCATCTAGCAATGTGAGTTTGATGTGTGTAAATGACCTTAAAAGTCACCCCCTTAACTTAGGGAGGCTGCAACTGCGACGAACTTGGCTTGCTTCTGTGTAAAGTCCTCTTTGTTGAAAGATTGAACTGCTAGCAAATAGTTAGTCAAAGTGTGTCAGAATGATCCTTAATTTTGTGATTCCTAGTGATTTGAGGACATTGTATATCACACTGTTGAATAATCAAGGATTGCTTGTGAGATGATTGTCGAAGCTTGTTTGCAATAGCATGCACCGTGGTTGGTTTTATTTTACCACGCCAGTACTACGTGCTTGCACTTTACTTACTGTGTATCCCAAACGGCCAATTAACATTTGAACTGAGCTTTTCTTACTGCTATATCATCCATTTGCTGGTTGGTTCAGTAGATTAAGATCCATACTGCAGCCACACGTGTGGCAATGTAACAACATTTTGCCTGCATTTTACTTTCAACTCAGCCAGCAAAGAACACTGGCCATGAAAATGAAGGGAGTACAAGTCATGTGGGGCTTGGCCTTGTAGCGGGGCGAACAACCTCTATCAGGACATCGGAATGTCGTCTCGGTTCAGTGTGCAATGCTTTTACTGAGAAATGTGGGTCTTTATTTGTACATCGATAACCGTTTGGTTCAAAGAAACTTTATTCATTAAGTGGCCTGTACTTTCAGGTTTGATCACCGGAGCGAGCTGCTAATTGTACATTGGTAGTCAGAGTTTCGCATGCTTCCTGAGACCTTTATCTGCGTCCTTCAAATGCTCGGGGACGGGCATGTTGCTGAGGAGAGTAACCCTAGACGATGACACCAAAGATTTGCTCTCGGAGTCTTGCGGGTTCACCTTCCATAGTCGCACCTCCCATACCTGCTCCAACACATTCATTAGTACCCGGATTCATGATATGAATCATGCAAAACCGGACTATCTCAAATGAGAATTCTTCACATGCACTCGGTTTATGTGAGCCCGCTAATTCTCAGACCTTATAGCTCATGTGGGCTTCACATAATCCAATTGGTCGAAATTGATTGAGCTCACGCATTCGACGATCGCGAAGAATGGCTCGTCTTTGAGACCATAAACAAGAGAATGAAAATGAAATGGTGGAGAAAAGTATCGACCAGGCAAACAACACCACCTCATTGATTTCTCTATACCGTTGGTTAACTCGGTTCAAGATACTGCTTTGCTTTCATTTCCAACCCACACATTTGTATATGCAATTCTGATCTCATCATAGTTAAACTTAATCACAGTTCAAATACGAAGAGGGCAGAAGCTACTGTCCATGACTCGTGGACTTAACAAGCATCTCAATTTGCACACAACACGCTTCCATACTCCAACATATTCAGTCTTAAAGCTAACTCGCAGGCCGTTCAATGCACTGTCAGTTATGACTTGCCATGGATGGCAACATTCAAATATGGTCAACCATGTATTACTGCTAAACACCCAAATCCTCTCAAGATTCATCATCAGCTTAGCCGGGAACTAGCGAGAGGCAGCGAGAGAGAGGAGGGAGGGAAGGGGGCTGACCTGAATGGTTTTGCCGAGGCTGATTGGGGTGGCCTCGGCATGGACGAGGTCGCCGACCACCGCGCTCTTCACGTGGTTGATGCTCAGGTGGATGCCGGCCACCCTCTTGAGGCCGGACGCGAGGTGTGCCCCCATGCTCGCCATCCCCTCCGCTATCAGCGCTGACACCCCTCCATGCAACACCTTGAACGGCTGCTCTTCATCCCAATTCACACCCCCACGACAACGTCACAAGAAAGAGTCGAAAGAAAGGTCAGATTTTTCACTTGATACGCAGCCCGTCAGCAAAATTTGACCGGTCCAAAGACCATTCCCCAAGAAAGAAGGAGGAAGTGTACCTGGCAGCTCTTGTGGGAGACGAGGATTTTGCCGGTGACCCTGGTGGCGGTTATCTCTTCCAGCTCGAATCCCACCGCGTGGAGGGGCGGGTCTAGATCAGCCGTCTTGGACTCAGAAGTGGAAGAAGAAGAAGGGTTATCCATGGGGGATTGTGCTGGATGAATTGGTGGAGCTCTGCTTCTCCGGATAACGGGTGCGACCCAGGAACGAAGATGATCACTCTTAACTGGAGCGGGGTGGGAGACAGCTTCACCACATGCTAGACCAGCTCATGCCTCTTCCTCGGACACGATTCAATTCGAGCTCCTCCAGCTCCTCCGGCTCCCGTCTCAGCAGTAGTAGGTGCAAGACCAGAAAAGGGTAAGGATGAAGATGGGTGGTTCTACGTGTCTAAAAAGGTCCAAAGTCCAGAAGAGAGAGAGAGATAGTGGGGGTTGTTCTTGTTTTTGGTTAGGTGAGAGGGCGACGGGGGGAAAGAAAAGCCAACTGTTCTTACCATTTCCTGGCTGCATCTCGTTATCTCCTAGAAGAGGCCCTCACCTACCGTCATCGATCAAAGGAGAAAGATAAAAGAGCCTCTCTCCAAAGCGAAAATGAAAAATTTCGCCCAAACATGTGGAGGAAACAGAAATTCACAAACTTTGTCCCTAAAGGACTGTCCAAAGAACATGAATTTTCTCTCCACAATTTTTCACTTTTTTGTGGCGTCAGCTTCTCTCTCTCCCCATCTGCCCTGCCGGACCGGAGACAGTGGAGATGGCCCGAGAGGCCAAATCTTGCGTATCGACGAACGATTGTGGTTTATTGCTTTTTGTTCCGACAGTGAAATGCCTGGGAGGCGTGGTATCTTCCTTGGACCATAGAATAGAATCACCCGCTTAAGGATATGCAAGGTACATGCTTTTCTCCGCAAAAATCATTTGTATTTGGTCTATATATGATATAGTCATGTAAATCTCGTAATTTTCTTCTTTCCATTTTTTAAGACTTATAGATACATAGATTATGTCATAATATGTGGTCGATGAGAATATTCGATGGATTGCTCATGTTGCTCCAAACGCATCACATGATAAATGTGTCATGCTTATGTTTTCATATAGAGAATATTTATTTACTGTACTGTCATATTAGAAAGTTTTGAATTTATATGCACCTGGTGCAGTTTATCGCTCGCCTCGTCCCCATCTCCTTTTGCATTCCATTTTTTTTTAAAAATAATTTTGAAATCAACCACATTAGTAAATGTGGGTGCCACACCTGAGTCGAATCGCCACGTCAGATGTCAGCCGAACCACTTACCTTTAGGACTAAATTGATTCGATTCAAAAAGCATAAGCACTAAAATTGAACAATGAAAAAATTAGTAAGGTCTAATTTTGGCACTGCCCTCCACAATTTTTAAAAAGGTTAAGCCAGCTATTTGTAGCAACAAAGTCCCCACCCGTTGCAGGTATTTTGCAACCGAAATAGCACTGTTCAACCACCGGAGGTTGCTCTAATGGTCACCTTTCTCACATGAAAAGGGAGAGGTGGGAAGTTCGAATCCCCACCTTCTCGGGGGCTGGGGCTGGGGCTGGGAACGTTTAATTTCAAGTGTGGGATCTGACTCCCACACCTTGCAAAAAGTAGAACAAAAGTCTGAGAGTGAGTTGATAATTAGAGTATGATAAAATCAAAAAAGAAAACAAAAGATAGCACTGTTGGAATTATTTTTACAAGGTCTATTTACAATTAGCCCCGTAAGTTTGTTTTTTCTTGTAATTGATGCCCCTATCGTCGCATGCATTAAATTATAGTCCATTATTGTGTGTGTGTGTGTGAGTGACGATCCACCTAAGTACGTGATTGACACGAAAAAGTCGCTCCCTCACCTACCACGGAATCCAAACCCACGTGCTCGAGTTGTTGAGCATCTCATCAATTGACGAGCTTTAATTACAATTATCAGCTCATATATTGTATTAGCATCGATATTTCAATAGCACCCTCAAAGTATCTACGTCTGTCAAGGCAAGCCCTAGGTCCACGGAGGTCGGGCCCGGGTCCATCGAGGCCAGCCTTGGACCTCGAGAGTGGTCCAAGCTTGAGCTCAAAGGACGAGGGCTCCGGCCTATGTGGACTTGGGTTTGGCCTCCTTGGACTTGAGCTTGGGCACCAGGGACCCAAGTACGAGCACTGAGGTACCGAGGCCGGCCTCCATGGACCTGGGCATTGCCTTGATGGACACGGGCTCAGGTGCTGGAGACCAGGGCATGGGCATTGAGGTCCCGAGGCTTGAGTGTTGGGAACCCACGTACAAGCTCTAGGGTCCCGGCCTCCATTGACCTAGGCCCAGGGGCTGGGAAGCCGGGGCATGGGCAACGGAGTCTCGGGCCCCCGAACGTCGAGAATCCGAGCATGGTCACTGGGGTCTCGGGCTTGGCCTTAATAGACCCGGCCGTGACCTCTAGACTCGGGCCCGACCTTTAATCGATTGAAGTTATTGCTCCAAATTCATCACATGATAATTGTGTCATGTTATATGCTTTTTGATAGGGAATATTTATTATCCGTATTTTCATCTCGAATTAAGGAGAGATTTCTGAATTAATATACGCCTAGTGCAAGTACTCGATCGCCCCGTCCCCATCTCCTCTTGCACTTTCCTTTTGTTTGTTTTTTTGTTGCATAATTTTGAAACTGTGGCCATTAGTCACGCCGGTAAATTTGGGTGTCGCTTTGAATTGTCATGTCAGATGTCAACCGGACCAATCAACTTGAAGGACTAAATCGGGTCGATCGAGCATTGAAAAAGAGCAATAATGTCTAATTTCGACACTGTCCCTCGACAACTTTTAAGAGGCTAAGCGCGCTATTTGCAACGAAGCCCGTTCGATGCGGGTATTTGCAAACGAGTCAATATTCTTCGAATCATTTCTGCAGGGTCTATTTTGCAATTAGCCCCCAAAGTTTTGTTTTTCTCTTATAGGCGAGGCCCTCTATTTGTTGCATGCATTAAATAATAGTCGAGAATGTGCGCGAGTGATAGTGACCGAAAGACGCGATCGACATGAAGAAGTTGGTCCCTCACCTACCACACGATCCAAACCCACGTGCTGGAGTTGTTAAACATCATGAAAATCGATGACCTTCGTTTTGATTTAGTTCCATTTATCATCCCATTGACTGTATTAGCACCAATAGCAACCCAAAAATCTCTACCTATCTATCTCATGTGCAATCTACTCAAATTTCTTGTTAAAAAAAAAAACCGACGAGCTCAGGAGACGAAAGCAGCTTAAGCAACGGCCCGTTGCCAAGGTCGCGCGACCCCAGGCGAGATAGATTTGGAGATAAGAGGCTCGCGGGACCCTCGACATCGAGAAAACCCCGATGAACGTCGACCAAAGGCTGGCGAGCTAGATCTGGAGCGATTAGAGAGATGATGAACAATATCTACGGTGAGGGCAAGACAGGAATACGGAATTAGAAATGAGGGCAACATCAGAGAAAAATTCGTTAAGTTCCTTAGGATCCCGCGAGCCACTTATCTCCAAATCTATCTCGCCTGGGGTCGCGCAAGCTAGATCTGGAGCGATCAAAAAGACGATAAACAATATCTACAGTGAGGGTATGTTGACACTCAAATTTTGGAGACCCAGTTAGTTGTTCATTGCATAAAAAATTAGGGATCAATCCTGGTCCCTAGAAAAAAAAATTAGTTAGATTAGGAGCATTTGAATTAGTATTTAGGCCCATAAAATTAGAGATAGACTCGAGTCAATGGCTCTAAACTTAATGAATTATTCGAACTAAGCCCACAAATGAAGCAAAATTTGGCCAAGCCCATGTACATCATAAGAGGCCAAAAATTGAAATGCCAAATGGAAAATATTGAATAATTGGGTAATTTCGTTTGATATTATTACAATTAGATTTGATAAGTAGAAAATTTTTCTTTTGGGGGAAGTAAGGTATATCTCTTAAAATCTTTGAAGATTGGAAAGTTAAAACCCTAATTACACTATATATAAAGGCTCCTAGGTTCACGATAAAAAAAAATGGGCTACACAATTCCATACACGGCCACATTGGGGGCATCGTTCCCAGAGAGGGAGACCCGGTCATACTGAGAGAGAAAAATAGCGAAGGGGTCTCTCTCTTTTGGCTATAAGAGAGGTTCCCGTTCGGCCAAACGAGAGAAAAGGGAGGTGGCGGTCTTGTCCTCCTCTTGGATTGTCTCATTGTGAGTTATAGGGTGAATCGTGGAGTTCTTCTGGCAACCGCACCAAGTTTTCTTAAGCAAAATTGCAGTCCAATCCCGACGCTGCCTTCAACGTTTGTCCAGCAACTTCCGCGGTGATCGATTGCAACTATCAATTTGGGATTTTTCGTCCTATTAACCCTTCTATTTTTGCGGAATTATCAAGTTGATTGGATAATGTTCCTTATTTGAATTGATTGGATGTTTATCTTTTGTGGCGAATGATATCTTGATTGATTTGAATGTTCATCTTTGATTATTTTCCTTATATAAAGAAAATACCAAAAACATTATGTGCATGTCATATAGTTTGCATGTTAGAAAATCGCATGCCATAGAGATTAGTCTTAATTTTAAGATAAAAGAAAACCCCAAAAAATATGAGATTGCTTTAGTGTATTTATTTGCTTTATTTCCTTGCAACTTATTTGCTTGCTTTGTTATTGCATTGTTATTTGTAATGGTTGTGTACCCGCATGATCACTTCCTGCATGTTAGTAATCTAGATTAAAATTAATTCAAGCTACATGCATGAACGTTTTCAAGAAAATAAAATAGTACCGAAAGGGCGTTAGAATAATCTAGCGTAATCAAGTTTTCGAACTCAATTAATCTCTGGTTCACAAAAGTAAAGTAATTCTCCCACACTTTACTTGGGTTTCTAATCGATCCACTAAAAATAGATTATTGGCGACTCCTAAATGAAAATAATTTACATGTTAAGAATTTAAACCAAGTTGCGAATTGATATGGGCTTGGGAGAGCCTGAGCTGAGTTTAGGCTTAGTAATCCATTAGCCGAACCTATAGGCGGTGAACCCGTGGGTAAGGTCGTGACAGGGTAAGACAGGAATACGGAATTAGAAATGAGGGCAACATCAGAGAAAAATTAGTTGAGTTCCTTGAAATAGCATTTTCGAAATGCTGAAAACCAATACGTCCCAAGTTGCATTAGGTTTTTGGCATAAAAGGCTTTTGAGATTGTGTAACCAAACAACCCAGTTTTGGAAAAGTGCTTTGGAAGGCCAAAAGACTTTGAAAATGCTCTCCTTTAAGGCACACTTATTCCCTCGTTACACCCACACTTGTGTCTTCATGCTAGTGAATAAATAATTGAAAATTCGATTAATTCTCATTATTTTACCTTATATCTATTTGAACGGCAATAGCTATCTACGCCGACAAATCAAGATTGTCCGATATGATTCAAAAAATTCCACACTTATCAATGCCTTGATCAAATTACTTGTGAGAGTATATCGACAATGT